CTGGATGTGAGGCTAAACAACTGGGCTAAATCATGAAGCCAGTAAATTGTGGGAAAAAGAGAAATATTCTCCAGATTAATGCTATGATTTTTAGTTCACTGCTTTTGACGGTGAACATATCACAGGGGATTTAACATGGCGGCAAGCCTGTGTGAGCTGCCAAAAGGCAGATTTCACATTTGGAGAGAAAATCAGATCTGTTCTTCTAGAGAATTCTGTAACCTGTCAGTCAATGAAAGGCATTTTAACAACATAACAAGCCTGAGAGGAGGCCAGAAATATGACAGGAGTAAATAAGTCTTGTTGGCCTGCATGGCAGCCTTTTATAAACCACAGCTTCTTGTACACAGCGACTGTCAGTCAGACCGCTCCCCTCGATCTCTGCTAACAGGGGTCAGTACAATCTAAAGAGCCACTCTGCCTTCCCTTTACTCTCCGACTGTGTCAACAGGCTGAGCGTAAGGTTTCAGTTTCCCCCGGTGCACTTCTCACCTGCGTCTCATTGAAGTCATGCCAAAAATGATAATGTAAAAGTGGAGAGGAAAGTGCTCTGTGTGTGTGTGTGTGTGTGTGTGTGTGTGTGTGTGTGTGTGTGTGTCCGTGGGTTTTTTTCATGTGCACGTGCATGTTAAAATTGCAGGTCAGGTATCCGCCAGGCTTCAATCCAAAAGCTCTGAAACACCACCTGATCTGTGCATGTCTGATTGTGTGTGTGTGTGTGTGTGTGTGTGTGTGCGCGCTGGAGTGTGTGCATCAATGAGAGCCTTGTGTTATCAGGCCTCTGCCCCCACCCCCACCAGTGTGATTGAAATGTAAATTGAAAGTGTCATAAAGCCCATATTGTCAGCCAAACGCACAGTTATGAAGAAATAATAACAGGCTCTTTCATTAGGGAAATGACAGCTCTCGTTTGCTCTGATTTTCCTCCCGGTGGAATGTTTCTGTAATTACTTCAATATTGAGAAACAGAGTCGAAAAAAAGAAAAACATCTGGGATCAATGACAACATTTTCGTTGGATATTAAAAACAATGTTCTTCCTCTGACAGCATTTACTGGTAAGAAAAATAATGTTCTGTAAAACTGGTGTACAATTTTTCCACCTCCAATTTTCCCCTACATAGCTGACATTACAGGTGTCAAACTCGTCTTATTTTTATAAAGGTGGATTCTGAAAGGCCGTAGAACAGAAAGACCATTCACTCCGCATCCAAGCCATACAAAGTGAAATTCTCATAAACTCTGATGCTGTAAAATTCTTACAATGCATCTACAGTATGGACCATATATGCACATAATTAATCTATTTCTATTTTTGTTATATTTGAAAGAATGTCTGACCAAAATGGAATAATAGTGAATCAGACATCATGCGGTCATGTTTCTAACAACGGTACACGAATCAGGGGCTTTTGTCTGGACCACAGGAGTGGAGTCGTGTCAGTGCTGCTGGTTGTTCACCCTATTCATAATGTTCATGACTCACTGTCTGCCTGTGGTGTTATTTTATTTTCTCATTGACCTTTCCTGACCAATTTTATTTTTCTCTTCTCTAGCTTCGGATTCTTTGTAGTTGAAAGCCAATCTACAGAAGAGAACAAAATGGAGCTGGAACGGGATTAGCGGAGATTTGTAATTTCAAGGTTATAAGAACACAATATCCTGTAGATGCTGCTTGAAATGATAACAGATCTAAGACTGAACGCATACGCGAGAGGTGTTTGTCTTGCTTCGTCACTGCGAAAAAGAGAAGTCAATATAATTGACTAACAGTGTCACTTTCCTTTTATGTCACAGAATTGATCTATTGTATCACCTGACACTTACAAATTGGCTCTCAACTGCAAGCCAAGTCTTTGGCACTGTTAATACTGCCGTTGGAATTTACAATAATGTAACTACTTTTTATTTTTATTGTGATGACGTTTATAAGATTGTTTCTTTTCTTTTTTTTTTTTAAATCAACAAAAATAAATATCTTTCCAAGATATAGATGCTCTATACCTTTACATTACTGTCCATTTTCCACACACAAACCATGCAGACCTATCATAATAGAAACTGGTAATCTATGTGTCACTTATAAAAGCTGTCTTAATTTATATTAATAACTTTGTGCTATTTTATAGTAACATTGTCTGCGTTAATGTTATTCTATTTATGTTTTAAGCACATGCACAAATCTGCCTTTTGTATGTGTATGGTTTTTAAACCTGTGTTTTTATTGCAAAGCACTTGTTTGCATGAAAGGTGTTAAAGTTCATTATTATTCATTAATTTAGACAAATTTTCACTTAATAATTGGCACACTGAGAAAGTTTGAAATAACTACCATATATTAACAGACGTAAATCTGTATCTGTACAAATGTTCAGTCTCGCAAACAACATCCAGACAATCAAAGTAAAGCCAAATCAATTACTTTTTGTTATTTTCTAAACGTTGAGTAACTTGTTTTTGGGAACTGAGGTAAAATAAACCATCAGCATAAACATATATGAATACAGTGGACTGTAACCATCACTGCCCCTTCTCCTTTCACTCAGGCCCATCATGATGGAAGTGAGTAAGTAACCAGAGAAGTGTATTTTTATTGACTCTGGACCTCTGCCGTGACATGTCAGGAGGAAGCACCCAGAGGCTGAGGTTAGAGAGAGAAAAGAGAAGCTCTCAGGAATGAAGAATGGGACACTGATACAGGGAAGTTCCTGTGTCCGCAGCCTCGAGGGGCAACGAAGGCTTCATTTCCCAGGCTGGGATGCCTCTGTGTTGCTGTGTGCACGGACTCAGTTCACAAGAGGAGCACGGACTCAGTTCACAAGAGGAGCACATACTGAAAATCTGAATTCGCCATGATAGTTCTGTATTAGTGAGAGAGGTTATAACACTAAGACCCAGGATAGGATGGTGGGTTAGACAAGCTGGTATTAGGGAAAACATGTTTCCTTGGCATAACTTAAAGACCAGGCCCAACTCCCATTAGGGATAAGAAAGTCATATATATCTTGGTTTAGAGGGTATTTTCAGGACACTTAAAAACAACCTGGATCACCGTCATTTTCTTTCTTGCCCTGTCTGGAGACTGTCTCATCTGTCTGCTGGAAGGATTTTAATGAAGACCTGAGTGTACAAATTTATTACAGGACTGTTTTTGTTTTTCTGCCTTGAGGAGGACTTTTATCTGCCAAGGTTGTCCTCTGCTAAATATGATGCATCTGCTCATCTTATAATCTATTCAAAATCTAAATTTTACTTTAAACTGCAAAGTTGGGTACAAGTCGGCTTTTCACATCACCTCTTTAACCGATACGGCAAACTTGTTCGCAGAGGTTTCTTATTTACACATCCAGAAGTTACAGAGCCTCATTGTCATTCATCTGGAGTGGTGTATCTGGCCTCCTGTGGAATATTCAGTCTTTTTTAGCTGTTTTTGGTTTCAATCTCCTGAGGGAAATAGGGAAACACAGGCTCTTCAGCTGCTAATGAGTGACCTCTTTCACATTGTCATTTGATATCATTATCAAAATATCAATTACAGCTGCTTTAACTAAATCAATTAACTTTGTGCGCTAATAATGGATTCAGCCCCTCAGACAGTATAATTTGAGGTCATGAGTTGATTTAAGCCCGCAGTCTCTCTTTAGTTTGTGTGTGTGTGTGTATCTTAAAGTTAACCGATGAAACCAGACACAAGAACCGACTGAGGATGTGTGTAGTATCTGACGGCATAAGAAAAATATTTCCACATTTTATACTGGTGATTGCGTTATGTACAAAATTGGAAAACAGACGAGCAGTCTGTTTTATACAAGCTTTATTTACAATGTCATTTCCAAGTTTTGCAGTGTAGGAAGCACATCAATAGGTCCTCATCGGACAGATGCTATATGAAATCCATCTACCTAGACATGAGTTTTATGTTCTCATTCTCAAATGGCCAGACACTTCCTCTACCACTGTCACATAAAGTATGTACATAGTGTGTTTGTACAAGATCAATATAAAACTTGGCAAATGGAAGGTTATTTGCTACTTCAGTATGTAAAGAAAAGTTTTCCAATGAGTAAAAAAATACAGCAAACACTGCACGCGTCGAGATAAGATTCTGACCTGTTAACAGCCTCGTGTTGTTTGTATCATCTCTCTAATACTCTTTTGACTGGCCCACAGAGGTTAGCAGTCAAGTAACACTAGGAAATACTGGGTACTCATTTTAGATTAGGCATGTAAGTAATACACCACATTATGACTGAGTTTTGGAAACTGCAATCCTCATTTAGTATTTTGTTCTCAAACAGGAATAAGGGGGGATTTTGACTCATAGCTTGAAATACTTCACAAAGGTGTCACTCTTCCTCTCTCTACTGAGAAGAACTTGACATTAATAACATCTGAAAATGGCCAAAAAACTAGCTGGCTGTGAAACATTAGTTTCTCTGGTTATATTACTGCAACTCCCTTGCAATAATCTCTCCCCCACTGTCTCATCATTTGCATCAAGGTAATAATACGAATATACACAGACACATAAAAGAAACATAAAACAGTGGATGACTTGAGGGTGGATAAGAGGGGATAACACAATGTGATTTTTCTTCAGGGAGATATTAAATAACAAAAAATACCCCACCCCCACCCCCCCACCAACCATCCCTGATATGAATTTGAACAGGTCAACCATTACAGTGGATGTGTTCCATTATATACAGATTTCTTACCAAACCAATGACTTGTGGGGATGGACGGTTAAAAGAGTTCTGTGTAATATAACTTACAGCTCAAACTGTAGATGTTAATGGCAAGCGATTTACAAAAAAAAAAAAAAAAAAACAGAGAGAAACAGTAGAGAATTAGACAAAAGATGTCACCTCTTTCCTTTGCAAATGAATTTAGACTGAAAATGTTCAACTTCATTACTCGCTCCTGGGACACAAATTTAGTTGATGCCCAAATACGGTTTCTGATTTGCTCTTATTTAATCAAGATACTTAACCAAACATCTGTACTAATGTCATTTTTAATGCAGTTACACGTGCATCCACAACAACTAATGAACCCTTTTCCCCACAAACAAGGCCCCCGTCTTTGATGCTGTCACTTAAAACACTGGAAAATATGATAATTTATAGGGTCACGGTAAATTCACTAACGATTCAGTGATTAAAAATGTTAAATGTGCTTTTTTTTTTTGTTGATGAGAAAACATTCCTTTTCAAATATGATAAGTTTCTTAGCACAGTAATTTCCTGACAAGAATGGAGGTAAATATAACCGTACAGCGTTTTCTCCCATATACACTGATCTGAGCTGACACTGTTCATATTATAACCTTTGTGTCATTTTCATTAGATGGAGACAAACACTACATTACTACAAGCCTTCTCCTCCTTTTGTTGCATAATACAAGTATTTAACAGTATTTTGATGCCGTATGGAAACTTCACCTCCATTGTAACAGTATAAGTGGTGATATAATACTACTACTAATATAAAAAAAAAATGTAACAACACGCTGTACAAGCAGCAAAAGAATAAATAAGCCATTGAGATAAAAATGCACGGCATGAATTAAATCAAGGTTACACAATTTAACAATTATGAGTAAAATAGGTTAAAAACAGAGAAGAAAAAGCCCCTCATTAAGCCTACATCATCTAAACAATACAAGTCAAGATATTCATCATGTGGATGAGTTTTAAGACCATCTCAGTCATTTTTTTTTATCTTTTCAAATAAAACAATAAAGCTGGTCTTTAAAGGCAACGTGCCTTTAGTCCTATGAAGACCAGAAAGTCTTTTTTTTATATCATATTTTAAGCAAAGGCACTAAATTGGAGCATTCAAACATCTCTTCCATTTAAACAAATGTATGCATTTATGCCTATAATATGCATATATTCACAGGTCCAGGTTTTTATTTCTCTCGCCCTTTTTCTCAACATAAGCTCTGGAAGTGAAATTTAAATAAGACAGTTGCTACACAACAGTACAGTATGACTTACATCAACTCCAAATTAACTTTCACTATTACTGAAACTATAATTTGCGTCTGCTGTAACTCATGTCTTGCTTTGCGGTTAACCCTGCATGTCTGAGCAGTCAGCTTCTTCCGTTAACAATTAATGCCAAAACTTTTCTTTTGAAATCGCAATCGTTTTCCCTTTCCACATCTTTTAACTGATTAACCCTTTCAATCCAACTAAATGAATGTGCTATACATTAGCCTACAAGAGCTAATGTAGAGTTTCATATCACCTTTTGAATAGTCTGATGTTTCTATCAAATTGGCATTCATTTTTATGGTATAGTGTATTACACATGAGACAACGTGCACTTATTTGCTACTAGACAAATAACAGACAACACAGTGATCAGCTACAATATAGCCGACATCAGAAACACTACATGACGGGTATAAATGTGCATTCTTACAAAGAAACAGATGCTACACTGACACTAACATTTAACAATTACAGCTAAAGAGAAATTGCAAGTAAGCTTAATGGGGGCTTTTATCCTGTATAAAATGCATGTCTGTAACATTGTTATTCATTTAAAACACTTATGTTGCCGTCCTATGCTCCTACTGCAAACCGTCCTAAAGCCTACAGGGCAACCCAGTAATGCCCCATAAACTCTCCTTTAGTCCACAAGTTTTTGTACTCTCTAATACTTGAGGTAAAAGCACTTCTAAGATGCCATCTAGCAACATACTGAGGAGAGGCTGGCAGAACCATTGCAGGAGATACACACTCAGGAGTTAAAAGGGGAGCTGGCTTCTTTATTGTTATGCAGACTAATTTGCAGGCTACACCTCTCAAATATTTCTCTCTCACTGATGTCAACTGTCCTCCGACCATGGAAATAGAAACAGATATGTGGAAATATGTCATTGAGGTATTCTGAAGCAGCTAGCCAACGTCAAGTTGCACACAAGCACTACAGAAAAGACTCTATACTGCGATATACTGCCCTCGTCCTAGGTGTTTGTAACATACTGGCGCATGAATAGTAGCAGACTTGATGCAGTGTGGAAGCACAAGCAGGCATGTCCATGAAGAGTAAGTAGGAGGGGTAGAGGAGAGGGGATGGAGAGGATAACAAAGAGCAGGAGAACAAGAGGAGTCGAGAGCTGGAAGGGTGGAAAGGAGATTAATTGGGGGAAGGAGCGTGAGGGTATTCTTTTTCTGACTGCATCACTCCTCAGGCTTGTCTGGAGGTTACAATGCATGACACTGCAGAGGTTGTTAGTGCTCATGCTGCAGCCGGGTGCGCTGGTTATTCACAGGCTTGAGTCAATGCAAAGTCATGCAAACAGTAGGCAGGCAGGTAGTTCATGCATCGAGTGCCTCAGCCTAGCCCAGCCACACCAGGCTTGGCCAGTTCATTGGTGTGCCAGTCATGCAGTGACATTGCTGTTGAAGGAGGAGAGAGAGAGAGAGAGATAATGGTCAGATGACAGGGCCTGTTCTCATCAGGGCCCTGATCTTAACAGATACACAGCAAATTAATGGGGTTAATTTCAATGCTTCTACAGGTCCATCATGTTAACGAGAGATTGTTCACGATGCTGCCTTAAAAACAACGACAAGGTAAAGAGAATGGAAGAAAAGACGGGTTAGAGAAGGGACGGGAACAGCTGCAACAAGCATACCTATTCAAGATTCCTACGTAAAGTGGCATGAGCAGTACTGTGCGGTGCTTATTGAAACACCTTAGCACACACCTTGAAACACCTTTTCTACTATGATAGCAATCAAGTCATTCTAAAATTATATGGAAAGTAAGTCCACTTCAGTGTGCTGCATTCAATAAATGCCTCCTTTTTGGTGACTTATTGGCATTGGGAGCAACCTACAAACTAAATGCAGTTTCAACCAGACAGCCACAGGATCTGTAACTCAGGAACTACTGCACCTCACGACTAGATTTTCCTTTAACACATTTCTTCCTATGTAAGGGGGGCCTGTAAGTCTGCAGTGTTGTAAGTAAAATATTAACCAAATACTGTGATAAATACATTTAAATTTAACATTATGGCACAAAAGGTGTTGTCACAGACAACCTGGTAAATGCTGGTAAAGCTAAAACCATGTGAACTAATACATTTCTTGCTTTGATCAACCGTGGCTCGTCAAGAAACATAAAGAAAACCAGTATACACTATAACGTAGCACACTGATCTTTGACACAATCTACCCAGCTGTGGATCACACCTTCTGGAACAACTTTACTTTTTCTTTTTCCCTTGGAAGAAAAAATACTTTTCACAATTATTGCTGCACTTACCAGCCAACAGTTGTTTTTTTTTTTTTTTTCAAACCATATAGTCCCATTAGAAATCACTCAGAACTTTTAGCAAGAAAATGGAACATTTACATGTGATGACTATACATCTTCCTATGCCTCAACACTCTATAACACAATGACAAAACAAAGGAGCAACTGTTTGAAAATATCATCATTTGAATCACAAGTGAAACATTGACACATGTAACAGAAAATTGCTGTTAACTTTCTTAAAGCTACATCAGAAGAGTTAAAACAGATGACCCGGGATAGAAAATCTGATCTGTCAACTCAAGTAAAAAAAAAAACAAACAAAAAAAAAAAACCATGAACCTCAAATGTTATCACAGGTAGAGATGTGCATAAATACTGCATGAACAGGCAGAGCGGATCCTCTACACAAAAATGACAGTAACTTGTCAAGAAGATGCAAGCCTTCTCAGCCTTGGGGTTCAGATTACCTGCCTGGCAAAAGTTTGCCACAGAGTACAGGTTGAGGAAGGTCAGTGGTTGAAAGGGAGGAAGAGAGGTGTTTTGGAGTGATTAGTTAGACCCTATTAAATATACTGGGGGTGAAATAGGTAGAAGCCTGGCATCACAGGAGTCTGGGAAAAATGTGCTTAGTCAGGAAAAAAGTGGTGCAAGATTTGGGCAGCCTTGCCTGGCATCTCTACCTCATGGATCTGATCAAGAAGAAAAAAAAGATAATCAATAGGCAGAATGCAGGAAAACAAGAACTTCCATTAGAAATGAATGGAAATAGTGCGCCTCAAAAAAGGCGCATCTACTTTATGTAAGTTCAGGGGATTTGTAAGGTAGTTTGTCGCAGTATTTTTCTGCCCTGTTGCCATCTACCTTGCGGTAGCTGGCTGGACGTGGCCTGGATAGGAGCGGCGTGTGCTGGTGGCTTGTCTCTGCCGGGCCAGGAAGGACTGACCAGAACCGGTGTTGGCGAGTCGGTCTTCAGCCGCCTTCTTCTGCAGAGACATACCCTGGGAAAAGATAAAGAGGAAGTCCCATTAATGGTCTCAATAGTCACTATCAGTATAGAAACAGTAAGTAGATGGAGATTAAATAGACCAGTATGAGCCAGAGCTTATGCATGAGCAGTAAACTGTTCCAACAAAGAGTAAGAGAGTCACCAGATAATTAGCTATAATCAGTGCACTAACCTTGATGCATGAGAAAGAGAATTTGCTCAAACACAATATTAGTGCCAATTTAACACCAGCTATTGATCAAATATGTGACAGTGCAAACAGTTCCTGTTAATGTTACAGAAAAGTCTCTGCTGCCCTCTAGTGGTTAAAATGCCTGATGACTTTTTATTTTGGGTCTACATGAAAAAGAGATATTTACTGTATAATAGAGACGTCTAAAGTATTAAAAATTCAACACACAAAAAATGTGTAATTCCATGTTACATTAAAACAAGATAAAATGTTCTGTATATCAATAGGTGAGCTGACAACGCAATCATTATCTGCACATTTACTTTAAAATATTGTCCGTTCTTCAGTGCTTATTATCATATCAGTGAATTTTGTGTATTAATTTCTTAGCCTTAAATATCAGCTGTACATGAGTGTGTGCCACAATTAAAAAGGGACGCTAGTCCAAACCACTGATACATGTGACTGGTGTTACAGTCTTAGACTGTATTAAGTCTTTCTTACCATATTGTACCAGGCTGACACAATCAGTTTCTCCTCGTAATCTCTCTGGCTCTTTGTCTTGTCCATCTCTTTCTGTTTGGAGAGAAATTAAAAGACAAAAAAATTCTAGAAATGCAAGAATGTTTTCAGCTACAGACGGATGTCCAATTACTTCCACTGTGTTTTTATACACATGAAAAACATTTTGTCCTCTCCAGAGTCTGTTCCCTTTCTGGTGTGATTATGTAGCAGAGTTAATAATTCCACTGTTACTATTCTATTTTTGTTAAAATTGTTTATAATGTATTATTATTCATTTCCCACAAAGACTGGTTTGTTGTGTGTAACATGAGCGCCCTCTGCTGGGCCCCTGCAATTATACCAGTCGGCTGTACACTCCTTATGCAATTTCTGGAGTTTATTACTACCTAGCTGGCTGTGAGAAACCTCATATGAATCTCTTGCTATCAGAATAAATGGCTAGTTGGCATCATAGACAGTGATGATTGTACCTGATTCATCACACAACGCAAGAGAGAGTAGACTGCTACAATGCAATACAATCTCTCAGATCATCTATGAGTTGACTTGTTGAGTCCGCTCAACAACTGACTGATTACCTCCAGTGAGTGCAGCATCCTCTCCTTCTCCTGCAGCTGGTTCTTCAAGGCCTGAACCTCTGGACCTGAACCCTGGTTCTGCTTGGGGTCCAGGGTCCGGATCACCTGAAGAGGAAACATTCAGTCACATCACAATCACAGTTTTCTTGTTTACCTACACTTAGAGCAAGTATCAGTGAGTACAGTACAGTGTGCTAAAGATATTTCTGTTGACCCTATAGCAATATAAAATAGACTGACACTCTTGGCTTTTTCCAGGTATTTCTTATATCTCTCCTCCATCTGTTTCATGTCGTCATCTTTCTTTTTCAGGGCCTCTTCCAGCTCCTCTACTCGTTGGGCTGAGAAGGAACAACATAAAAGATTTGGTTTAATCCTCCTTTCCTGTGCTTTTTCACACATTTCCTTCTGAATTGAATATTTCATATCTGCGCAGTGACATCACACATTAATTAATGTCAAATTTAAAAATGACAAGAATTAATTGCAGACGAAGAAGAAGGTCAACAGACTATAAGTGCACTTCACACTCCAAATCTGAAAGGGCTCCAAACTCACAGCTGGCGTTGTATTTAGGCTCCATTTCGTCGATGAAGGCATTTTTCTTCAACAACTCATTGTTCAACTCTCGTACTTTCTCCCTGATGGAAAGAACAAAGCACTAATGTCAAAAAGGTTTATATTAAATATTTCACGAATTAGCTCAGAATGAAATAATAAGGACACTTTAAATTCTCTTCAAATTCAGTTTTACTAATTAAAACAGCTCTGGGTCTGTAAAAAGATCACTTACATGTGCTCCTCATATTTCTTCTTCAGAATGGAAGACTAAAAAAAGACAAGATGAAAATTACGTTACAGATATCTTACATCTCCAAAAAAACAAAAAACAAAAAAAAAACAAAAACAGAAATATTATATATAATAAATAAACAGCCACTCTGTTGGATAAATGCAGGAACTGCAGCACACGTCAGGTCTTTAATTTTAAACCTGCGGCCACATTTGTGTGTGATGTTAGTCCCTGAAATTGTTCAGTTTAGCTTACTGACTACAAGTCAAAAATATGATATATATATATTTAAAACAATAATTATTATTACATTATGCAGTTTTAATAATGTGTAAATGATAATGATAAATTCTGTAGTAACATAGCATCCAACCTACAATTAATGGGATCAGGCACCTGGGATAATATGTGCAGCATCACTGTAACATAGCAAATACTTTTACATAGTTTATACAGGTTCAGCAGAGTGTCTGTCTGGTCTAGGGTTAAAAAGATTTGATAAAATTATGAACAATTCCCATGATATCCAACAGAGGGAAGTGTAGAGTCAATAATAGTTGGAAAATATTATCATAATGGTATTATACTGCATCAAAGATCAGAAGGAGGGAATCAACAGAGAAGTGACGTAGACACCAAACCATTACTGTGTGGGTGATAATACGATTTGATTTTCTAGGGTAGACAATCAAAATTAGATGAGTGATCTAATTGTTTTTATTCTTATGTTTTTTGATTCTGTGTCCATAGGCGGTACCACTCTCCATGTGGTATCTAAGGTGTTGTGCAGCAAGACCATGACAAAGTTCAAATCTGGAGAGTTGTGCAGAGAAGATTGCATGCTCAGACTGGCTCTCTAAACTAGAAGGCAACAGCATCAAGGAACAAGGAGAGGTGGGTTTCTACAAGGAGGAAGAATGTACATGTAGTGTCTGACTAAGGACTGAGTAAAGACACCTCTCTATTTCTAACAGGAAAGGATAGTGAGCCTGCAGAATGTCAACACTCAGCTAGAGAAAACGTGACCCTTACATGTGTACAACTCAGTGTAAGAAATGCATTAAAAGCAGTAAAATGCTCAATACAAGGTTAAAATCCAATGACTCTTGATAGAATTCTGGCCATCAAAGTTGAAATTTTATTTGCAAACAATAGTATCATGGAGTTCTTATTTTATTCTCTAAAAATATATATGACATATCTAAAACAATATTGGCTTTGCATTATGCACAGTTTTCATAAGGTGCTAATTCATTACATTCTGAGTTGTGACACATTTGTTTCAAGAAGTCAAAAAAACTCTAGGTCATGAAAGAGCAGAATGTAGAAGAGGGAACTTGTCGGGAATCACAAAGATATACTTACTATTGTCTGACAGTGGGAGCATCATTTGAAAAAAAAAAAAAGATGTTCAAGTATTTAACGAATGGCAAGAATCACAGCCCTGCCAAATGTGGATGGTTTTACATCCATACAGTGATCTGTCTTTCCCATTTTTGCATCCGACGCTGCTTCCTTAAATGACTAATACTGTAATTATAACTTTACATAAATAATTAGAATAACCGCCTCGCGGTTGTATGCCTCCGCCACCCAGACTAGTTTCAGGTTACATCCCTATTTATCCAGAGTCATATAAAATATTAACCATTTGTGTGAAATTTTGTCATAATTGCTGAGTGAAGTCTTGAGCAATGGCTAAAAAGTGTTTTCTGAGGTCACCGTGACCTTTGACCTTTGATCACCGGGCCTAATCAGTTTATCCTTGAGCCCAAGTGAAAGTTTGTGCCAAATTTGAAGGGATTCCCTTGAAGAGTTCTGGAGATATTGCGTTCAAAGAGCCAAAATCATGTTTTGTGAGGTCACTGTGACCTTGACCTTTGGCCACCAAAATCTAATCGGGGGACAGACGGGCGGATGAATGGATAGACGGACAGACAACCCAAAAACAGCTCTGGCTGTCACCGGCACGGAGGCATAAAAAGGTCTTCCTCCACAATTGCGATGATGCATTCATGAAAACAGTTTCTGCATCCTCTGTTTATTGTGTTCTTATTTCTATAAACTGAACTGCATCTATAAAATATTGAAAATACTGTGAACGTTCTGTTCATCTTGAGTGAAAGATAGTTTAAGCAAGACTGCTAATGCTGGCGATTGGAAACCCCCACAAAGGAAATTAAATGTTTTTGATTAAGGTTGATTATTTAGTAAAGACACACATGGATTGTGATAAACATGCATGCACACTCTCTCTCACACATAAAGCTTGTTGGGAGATGCTCCAAACCTCCTCTTCCTACATACCAGTAGTCCTCTACTAGAAACTGGTTTGAAGGGACACAAGGAACAGAGAAGAAGGAAATGGAAAAATTTCCCTTTTGTGTTTCAGGATGAGACATAAGTTAAATATCTTAATATTAACAAGAATAAATTTGCATTGCAGATTTTCAATTGATATGTGTGGATTTTATTCTTTAATGAAAATATGTTCAAATTGTATTATTATGATGGTCTGACGCCATCAGAGCTCTTAACCCAGTCAAATGTTTTAAAGACACAAGGCTTGTAGACATCCCAGGAAAACTAATCATTTTCTAAATACCACATGGAAATAAAGTAAAAGCACACACACAACAGAAATAAAACACCATAGATACAATGGGGGTTAGAAATGGTTAATATTAAGAGGAGTTAGTAAGTAGTAGTAATATCAAAAAGAAATCAAAAGTGACCTTTTCACTTTTGCAAGTTATTTTTTTTAGATAAAATATACAAACACCTTGAGCCCTCAGGAGGAGCAGTGTACTGCGGTCTTGTCGACGATCTTTATTCAACAGGTGTGGTATGATAGGAATTTCAGCGGGTATCACAGTAACACACGCACACATTTCATTACTTACATCATCTGCTTTGGAGCCCTGCTCCTGAAGATTCTTCTGTAGCTCCTCTACCTGACTCTGTTCCTCCATCAAACGCTGATTGATTAACCTTGATAAAGTCACGAAAGACCAGTCTTACAACATAGTTTTAACAGCAAGCTGTACAGTAGCAGATAAAAAAATCAGAGAGGCAGGCTTCTGGCTAAAAGGTCACTGACTGAAGGGCTAGTATAGACAAAGAAAATATTTGTGGGGGAATAAATGGAAGATCGATCCACATTCTAACACAGGGAAACACAATTTCCCCACAGTCAACAATACAGCTCTCAAACATGAACAAATCAAGATACTCTAGGTAGTAAACTATTCTCTTTGCTCTATTTTAGCTCAATTACATATTGAGAACAAATGTAGTAGTGTTTTTCCTTGGCAAATGCTATTAACAATTCAGCCTCCTTTCTTTTGCTGCTAATGCTGCTAATCTGCATGTCGTTACGCGCTTTTCTGACCTGTTCTCTGTCTCCAGTTCATTTTTTCTTCTGTTGGCATCCTCCAGTAGACTCTGCAACAGCGCAATCTTCTCATTGTCTGATCCCTCCTGGGCGAGCTTTAGCATCTTGTTCTCATGCTGAAGACGAATCAAGTGTTCTCTGTCAAAACAAACCGGAGAGTTAATTCCTTTCTGACAACACTGATAACTGATCACATTTCATTGAAACAAACAATATTGGTTGTTATGAAACTGTAATCAGCGACCCTACAGAATATTAACCTCAATATCTCTTTCTTCCTTCATATAATAATGGATAATGGACCTTCTGAGGTCTGTATTGTAATGTTCCACCCACAGACTGTATGGTTCCACCTGACTTATCCAAACATCTGAACCACATTTTCAGCACACTCTACTTGTGCATAACCGGAATGCCAGTGTACGCACATTGTGTATCCACCTATGTAGGCACGCATTACTTTTTTAAAAATGTGCCCTTAAAATAACAGTGAAATACTGCGACAAACTATGCGCCCAACCACACCTCAATTCAAGACAAACACATCCATGAGTGCTCAGATGGGTGCTTTGCACGGGGTGTAAGACAAGGCCCACAGTGCGTGTGTGTGTGTGTGTGTGTGTGTGCCAATATAAGAACATAAGAAGATAATATAAGATGGTGATTTATTCTAGTACTTGGCAAACTTAATTAATTCTACAAACACCTATTATGCAAATAGAATCATATAACAGCTCTGGTAACATTTGCAACAACAACACTACTGCAATACTGCTGTAATACTACGTCATACTGACTGATACTGCCACTGAGTAGTCACTGATGATGTTATAACTTGAACCATCTCCCTGATGATAAAACTATTGAAAAGTTTATTTCAGTTCTGTTATCCAGTTTGCATTCCTGCATCATCTAAAGTTCACGTGTTTCCTCTGCAGTCTGCAGCGTCTGTATCTTTACAACCACAATGTGAAATGCAGTGAGGGACTGCCAAAATCAAGAAGGTAATATTCAAAGTTGCAAGTGGTAAAATATGATCTGTGTGAAATGTGTTTAGAAGGCTGCTCAGTGTTCCCATGATCTTCTCTTCTGTACACTAATTTAGTTGAATTGCTGTTTGTGCACCCACATTCACTTGCCCTTTTATTTTTTTTCTCTTCTCATAAAATATGAAAAAAAAACAAACAAACAGCAATGCACACAGTACAAAGAGGAGTAAATAAGGAGGACTGAGTCTTTGTACTCAGGTAAACACTAAAATAGACAGCGCAGGAGGCATCTGATACTCAGGCAGCCTGGAAGTGAATCAGGCAATGAATTTTGGACACAAGGTTTATCTTAGTAATCTGTCTGTTTCTGATGTTTTATTCACTTTTCCAAATAGCGTGGCTTTTTCAGATAACCCGGCTTGCTTCAGCCCATCTACTCAACAGATTTGATCTTCCTGTTGACAGAACTGAGCACAGCCTGTTACTTGAGTCTTGTGTTTTTTTAGGGTGTGGCTGCTGACTCTTTTCCAACTGGAGAACTGGCTAAATGTTTCAAGACACACTCACAGCTGCTGGCTAGTAAAGGTTAGGCCAAGGAGGGCAAGTAAGAGTTGAGAGGACGTTCCAGTGCAGCTTATTGGGTAAAAATATCACATCAACACTGTTGGATTTCTTCTGGTGGAGTTCTGATTCCTACTCTACAGTAGACTTGAGAGAATAACTGTGTTTCCAGCTGTTTTCCTGGCTGTGTTCAGCTTAGACAAAAACTGACTGACAAAATCAACTCCAGATGCTGCTCATAAAAGCAACAGGTTGAATTAGGCACAGACTACTTTTCACACTCACTATTGGACACTGAACTGACAACCAACAGACATAAATGAACATGAATCACCAAAGTACCCAGTTAGCAAGTTTGTTTTTCAAACACTGTTCTTCTCTCTAGACATCTCCCACGAAACATTGCTGATGCAACATTTTACTTTGATCTTCGAACACTTGCAGGATATGACATCACTTCAGGATACAACAGCTTCTCATTACCTATGAAGGCTAATGAATAGCTTGGACTGGTTCTCATAAGCAGCTTTTGGACGATTAGGATTTCAATGTAAATCCACATTTTTCTAGGTTCACAAGTGCTGAGATAAAATCCAGGCAGTTTCTGACTACCAGCAGAAAACCCAGCCCTCTTGGACAGCAGCAGTCAGGCTGATGTAACTCACGCACAACTATTACATAACTCACTACAGAGACGGCTCTTTTTAGGACAAACTCTCATCTACCTTAAAATGGCAGAAAGAGAAGGAGAAAGCTACAGACCATCTGGCTACAGCACCACGGACATTACTGTACACACACACACACACACGATCAGCAACATCAAGAGAGGATCCCACTGTCGGCCCCTGTCATTATAAAGCACCTTTCGAATCTTATCCTTCATCTAGAATGATGGGTTTTCAAAATGCAATTTGCGACGCAGGGACAAAAATCTTTTGTCTTTTGCATCACAATATACAGTATTTCTAAAATACACAATACAGATGAATTTTCTTTTACATACTTTTTACATACTTTGCTGTGATATTTCTTCCTTTGTAAATCAGGATGTTTACATCCATTTACATAACTAACCTACTGAATATAAATAAATTAAATAACAACTGTACTCTGTCAACAAATCTATATCACCAGTTCTCTCTTTTTTTTTTTTTTAATCACTTAAGTAGGGTTCAAAAGTCATACCGAATCTCTGGGGTGGTGATCTCAGCAGCCAGTGAATCGGAGCCGTCGTTGCTGACCAATGGGAACAGACCTGGGCAAACAGATAGTGGTGTTATTACAGGGTAAACCATGATAAAACAGGCTATACTTGAGTGCTTGAGATTGATGGTTTTTTTTTAGCCACTACGACATTTCTTTACTTGATGTAAGTTGTCCCTCTTGAGCCTGAACACAATGCAGCTCCTCAATAGTCTCCTTCAGCGAGTCTCTCTCTGTCCGCATACGCTAGAAAGGAGACAGAGAGCAAAGAATGTGAATAAGAGATACATAAAGCAGGATCTAGAATGAAAGTTCTCAATGTACTAAATGCCAATAGAATTTGTCATATGTCAACCCCTTAGCTACCACTCTCATAACTTTATGCAAATGTGGCATTTGCATCTCTGATCTTACTTTACTTATTAAATCACAAAGTTAGGCACATTTTTCTGGTTTTAATATATCTGATTCCATCTATAAAATAGGTCAGAGAACATGTACTGTGGGATGTTTCTACGGAGAATGTACATTTATCATTTTACCAGCTTAATTAACTCATTCATTAATAAAGTGAATTGAACGCACATCTTTTTCTTTTTGCAGGGAGTCCACTTTTTCTTTGACGCGTTTATACTCAAACTCCATCTTGTCAGCCTTTTTAGATTCTTCTGAGAGTCTGTTCTGAAGTTCAACCACCTGTGCAGAGAGGCGACATTTCAAGTGAAGGCATTATCGATCATGTGAGTGAGTATCATAACAGAGTATCGAAGCAAGTTCAGTTACATAGTCCAGCCAGGGGTGATGTAAATAATGATTTTTACATGTGAAAGTCAACATGGCTGTCGGTTGGGTACCTGTCTCTTGTACGTCTCCAGCTGGCCCTTGGCAGCATTTGCCTTTCGTAGATCTTCTTCCAAACTGACGTTGGTCTGCATTAACATTGTGTTCTTCTCCTCCATCAGCTTATTCTGAAAAATAGCGACAGAAATATAAGCTTCGTTTGCACTGTCCATCTTGTGTCTTACATGTTGTGATGAATCAAAACTAAATGCTTCTTACAAACCAATGGATGTGTTGTAACGTGAGAAGAATTTAGTAAAACTCCTCACAATAAAAATATATATTCAATTTTGTCTGTTGTCTGTGTGAGACTGTGTACCTGTCTTCTGAGAAGTCCCATGTCCTCCAGTTTCTTCTTGTAGTGTTCCACTGTGCCCTCCAGCTTTGACACTTTGTCTGATGAGTGCCTACGAGGGAAAAAACAACAGATGGTTTCATTTTGTGATGTTATATTTGCAATGGGGAGGAAGCAGAGAGCTTTTCTAAAACTCTGTTTATATAGTGACACACCTGTGACAAAGGAAATCTGAAATAACAGGATAGTGGTTCAACAATGCATTATTTGTCTTTTGTCATCTTCTATTTTTTTGACTCATTTTCACATCCATTAGGTCTTTGGTGCAAGACTTTTTTTAACAATAGTGCCATGTTCATGTTTTTAATCAAGGTGATTCTCTGGGGGTTTTGTGAACAATGATTAGAATCTCTTCTCTTGTTTAGTGTTTACTTTAGTGTGCTTTACTCAGGTAATCACACTATGTTGAGGACTTAGATTTTACATCCCAACTTACCTAAGGACATCCATCTCATCCTTGAGAGACTGGGCTTCATCAGCCAGTGACACAAGCTCTTCATTCTGTGACTTTACATCTAAAAGTTCTTTTTCAAGCTCCTCACAACGGATCCGGTAGTCATCTTTTGCTGCCTCCAACCTAAAATGAAGTAGCGACAATAATCATCTTTCAAATCTGAACATATGAGTCATCAGCATCAGTAAAATCAGCTCTCACTTTTTCTGTCACAAAATGTCTTTCCATCTAGCATCTCCACACCTGAAAGTTTCTTCCTGTAGCTGCTCCAGTTGTGTCTGCAGCTGGAGATGTCTGCGTCCAGCTGGGCTGTTTATATCCTCTATGGAGTCAGACTGGTTGAGTCTCTCCATCAGGACCTGGTTTTCTGCTAGCAAACTGCTCTTCTCCTCTTGCAGGGCTGCCACCTGAGGGAGGAAGGGTAGCGAAGAGGAAGGCAAAGAATGGAAATACACAAGAGTAGAAAGGGCAGGAGGATATGGTTCAGTAGTGAGACAAACAGAATCAGATGAATAAGGAGAAGACAGGGATTTGGATAATAAGAAAGGTGCAACATAGAGGAAAAGGCAAAAACAAAAAGGGGTGGCATGGAGGATAGGATGATAGGAGCATGAGAGGTGAAGATGGAAATGATGTTAAAAAGAGAGAGAGAGAAGAGAGGCAGAGAAGGGAAACAAGTTAGGGAGGGAAATGCACTGAAACTTTCAATTTATATCTCTCAAGCTACTCAAATCTATATGTAACAGTTTCTTTACAGCATTCAGTCCACCAGGTTATTCACAATCACTGCAGCATCAACTCCAGTTACAAAGCAAGGACACAACAAACACACAAACCAAGAAGCTCCAACATTAAAGAGGGCTACATATGGTTTGATGTTGTCTTCTCAATGTGATAGACAGGGAATCAAACTCTCCACACAAAGCAAAGCAGAAGCTGGTTGTTTTCACTACCACATACCACCATGTCTAATCCCTGATTGTTGTTGGATTTGCCAATAACCATTTTCCAAAATATTGGGACTTTAAAATAAATGCCCTTTTTATGTGCCTAGACTAGTGTAAGTGATATCCACAAATTACATAGCAACTGTAAGTGAGTAAGAGAGGGATCTTATTTAATGCCTTCTGCCTCATGGAGCACCAGTCTGGCAGTACTTTGGGTTTAATTTTAGTCCTACACCACTGTATAGACTTGTGTTAAGTTCAATGTTCAAGAGAAATTTTGATTATTGTGCAGCTTGTGTATTATTTTTGGTAGAATCTAGACTTAGAAAATGAACTTTGCTTCTTAAACCTGTAGACTCCATTGCGTAGGATTTTCAAATATATTCACAAGCCAGCACAACATGATTAACTACGTCTGCCTTTTTATTTTGTTTAACACTCCTGTGTGTAAAATGTATGCCACTTAAATGGCAGTAACACTGTTATGTGGAAGCAATCTCAGAGAACTTGCACCAATGTGAAAATTCTCTCACTGCAACAAGCTTATATCACATCAAAGATGTGATCAGGACAGCTCAAAAAGCAGGAAATAAGGCAGGGCTCAAATATTCACTCTCAAAACCAGAAAAGGTTTCCTAAAAACATCCATCATTCCTATATAGGTATTGAGTTACAGTATGTGCAGTGGTGCTGCTGATTGCTTAGTGATCATATTTTTTAAATAAAAAAGGTTCTTGATGTGTACTTCCACAAGAGAAAAAAAGCCAAAATTATACCATAACATGTAAATAATATACAGTGTGTAAATATTTGACATATATTCAACAGTTCTGCCATTTAATGACTCCTTCCTCTTGGTCCGAAATCAAGCTTTTCCTCTTGCTGCCTATTATAGCTGTGGGAAAGCATGAAACACAACAAGGTGAAAAGGGTCGGAGGTTATTATTGAAGGGGTGACACACCCACACAAAACTGCAGTTGTGGCTGGTGTGCCCCAAGAGGACCACGTGTACACGTGTGCACAAACACTTGTGCACAAACGTGTACACACACATGCACACATTGTTAGGAGAAGGGGGATCTGGATTCCAAAAGGGATGCTGGTGCAAGCAGACTGAAAAAAAATCAAGGACTATTAGACACACCACACGCCATGAATGGAGGGAAGAGACAGAAAGAAAAGAAAGTTTGGATTTACCCTCTCTTCTAGCTCATTAAACTCTAACCTCAGTCTATCACGCTCCTCTTGGACATGGAGGGCCTTTAAAGCAAGGCACACAGTATTGAAATAGTCAGGAAATAAGAGGAAACTGAATTAATACAACAGGAGATCAGGCAACCCTTTAAAGTACAGCTCCATCTTCCTGCTGTTTCTGTGTCATTGGCAGAAAAATAAAAAATTCTAAATAATGATATCAAATATAATCATCTTCTATGAAGATGGATGGATCTTCCTTCTATTTGCCACAACTGATAATTGTTAAGGTAACAAAATAAAAAAAATCTTAAAAGTAAATGGTGTATCCACAGTACATAAATCAGCTAATCAGCTGTTTTGATACCATTTAATTAAGGTGCAATTATGCAGAAAAGGGAGCTGCTTTTAAAGTGTAACCAAAAACAGTACGACAAAATCAGTCAGATAGTAAAAGATATGAACATCACAGAAAGAAAGTAAAAATATAACGGAATTGGGTGGATGTGAATACTATGTATTTATACAAGTGGTTTTTTTTGCTATGAATATATTCAACTTAATAAACTATTAACTACATTGCTGCAAACTACAAGAAAAATGCTCATTTATCTACACTATGTCTCACCTTGATCTTTTTAGATAAAGATTAACAGTCTCAAATTTCACTGTCTTGAGAAAATGATCATGTTCAAGATTAATGACTGATATTCAACAGTTGAAATTATACCTCTGACTACAGCGGCAGACCATATACATAATGGAATTCTTCTAACAAGACTGATATTTGATTAATATTTTGATGACTATGATGGAATTACCAAGACGTTCGTTTCAGTGTGTCATAATAACCATTTATCTTAATGTCTCGTTATTCACACACACTCACCCTTTAATAGTGTGCAAATGTAAAACTAACTTGTCAGACTCACTAGTCAGGGCAAGTCTTTCAGATTAGGTTATTCAGACATGTGACTAACAGCACACACAGCTATGTTGTACAAAATCAGCATTCAAAGGGCTTACGACATGGGGAGTTGCCACAGCAATAAACCAACCTGCATGTCAAGCTCACGACACCTCTGGGCGATCTCTTCCTTGGTAGCCAAAGCGTCGTTCAGCTCCTCAACTGTCTTTTTCAGCTGACAGAAAGAAAATCAAAGTCAAAACCCCGCAGATTTCATTTCCATTTGGATGAGACTACAGAAACACTCACTTACATCTCACAGACATGCTTGATCTGGGGATATACAAATACAAGAAATAGTCTGAGGTGTTTTTGAAGCAGTATGTACACAGTAACGTTGACGTAGTAGTATCATGGTTCTGTTGAAGCAAGCTTTTCCACAGATCCAGCTGTTTTACAGCTCTGTGGCCAAAAAGGAAGAGGGTAAGACGTGGGTTGAGGGTCCTGTTTTATTGTGAATGCTCTGAAAGTAAACACACTTGTGTTGAGGTTTCAGTGGAAAAGGTGCTGGAGGGTGTCTATGTGTGATTTCAAAGATTTTAATATTGTACATTAAAAGTCAATTCTATTTAATTCAGGGCAGTTACATTTAAAATTAAATATTTTTGAATCCTAGACAGAATGAAGAAAATGTAAAACCGTTTTCACTACTTGAAATTACAAATGAAGGTGTTGTCTTTCTAAAATATGAGATCCTATTGACGGCACCTGCATTAAGAGCCAGCCCAGTGAGCTTCAATAAAGTCTCCATACCTGTCTGTCTAGATCCACATACGAGTCATTTCCTCCCGTCACCGGAGTCTCTTTACTCATCAGCTACAGAAACACACAAAAATAGGTTAAAGGTTGGAAGAAGATGACTGCCTTCCTGCAGTCCCACAGGATTAACATCTGATCCTGCAGACGTGACATCCCAATCCCACCTGCAAGCTTGTTTTATGTTAAAAAATCTGTCTGACCAATCCCACTTTATTCTCATTAATCAACTATCATCTGCAAATACTACTTCATATCGGTCTAGATAGCATGATCGTCTACCTCTTGGATAGCTGTCATGACAACATGCTGCACTGACTCCTCCATCATCATTATGGTCTGGATGTATTCTGGAAAACACAGAAAAAGAAACATTTACGAGGTAAATTCAAGCTTCTGCGTCAGCTGTTAACGTAATGTGATGTAAAAGAACATTGTTTTCCAATATAAACTTCCATATCACAGACAGCGAAAACGCACACAGAATATGGAATATGCACCTTGTTTCTGTTCACAGTTGACAGCGCAGCCCAGTAAAAGTTGTAGCATCCTCCCAAGTTCTGCTGCGTCGGAGTGTTCTCCAATGAGGTTAACGTCTGGTAGTGTGAAGTCATTAATGTGCTGCCCTAAAACCTAGACAGGAGTAACAGATGTTATCTATATATATAAATATATATTTCAAATAATCTAAATCTTTCATGATATGAAAATTAGATTATGAGGCCTGTAAGGATTAAGTGTGCAGTAGGCAGTCTGAACTTCTCCTGCCCAGCAACATAGCGCTTTACGTCTGAATGCTTGGTACTGATCAAACCTCTTATTTCGAAACAAATACAGTTAATTGCTCTTACCTCCTGGTTATAATCTAGGATGCCTTTCAGAATTTTCTTTAGATTGCTGACCTGAAAGAAGAGAGTACTCATGTAGACATTTACCCACAATATTAAAAATATCAATGATAGTGATTCAAATTGAGACTGACAAAAAATGTTACAATACCGATTGCTAATTTATGCTGAACCAATATCAAATGATGCTATATTTTTTAAAGGTGACAATGAAGCAGTGAGATCACCTAAGTTATTAGGAACATGCAATACCAACATACCTTTATGATTAATATTTCTAGACAAAGATATTGTTCATTCACACTTGCTACATCATTCAGCTAATTGGAAAAAAAAAATTACATAAACCAAGCATCCTAATCCATCCAAATCATGTCTGATTCTTACCTTTAACCTCCAGTTGTCTCCAACCTCTGGCTTGATTCTACTAATCCAAGCGTCATTGAAATACACTATATCTCTAAAAAAAAAAAAATTCAGACAAAGAAAAGGACAGGGATTGAGAGCATGAAGTTCTTCTTAAGTGTGATTTTGTGAATAAACAAAGCACAGACAAAGTGGCAAGTTTATAACAAGATATGGCATTTTATGAAGCTGCAGGTTTAGGAGGTTGTATGAGAAAAGGGCCGGGCCTGCAGGGATGGAGTGCCAGTCTTACTGAATGTTTTTAGTACATTAGCTGTCAAACATTTCAGAATATGCCATAAACAATGTAAAATAACATAAAAAGAATTTGTTTTATAAAAATGCAACTGATAACAAATATTGTAAGGATGAAAACTTTACATTTTCTGTAGAGCTTGGGCCATGACGACACCACTCGTCAAGTCTTCTACTGTCTTGCATGGAGCCTCCACTCCGAATGTCTGGATCTAAACAACAAACAGACACAAACTTTGAGTGCTGGGTGAAGGATAAAACTATGTAGTTTATTATGTTGACCCACAATATAACCTGCTCAAGATATTCAACAAGCATTTTACATGAAAAGCTATGACATCCTGTTTTCAGGAACACCTCGAAGCTGCCCACTATAACCACAGTCTTACCTGCCGGCCAATTAGCAGCTCCATTAGAGGAGGTGGGAGTTACATGCCTCAAGGGTACCTGAGTGATTCAAATATATTACTGTGTGCACCAAAGCGGAGCTGACTTACTGTTGCTGCAAATTCCCTCTCAACTTTGTTTATCATCGTTGCTCAGTTTCTCTTATGTCACCTCTGTCGTTAATTTCAAAGATTTTTTTTTCCGATTGAACTACCTCAATTGATATGTCTTTGTTCTCTCTCTACCCTTCATGTTCTTCTCTGCTTCTTTCCCTCTGGGCTGAAAGTCTGTTACCCAGACAGAAGTGAATATTCTTCAGTCTATATACCAACAGCCAACATGCCAAAAGAAGAGGGGAAACTGAGAGAAGGAATGTTGAAGTTCTGACAGGAAGAAAATGACGAGGTTGAAATTCTGCCTGCACCTTCTTCATCTTTCTGTCTGTCTCACTTTTCATTACGTGGCTCAAATACAACATGCAGCTCTCAAGCCCTTAGTCAGGGTAACTGGGTTGAAGTGAACTGACCAGAGCACTTTAAATCAGACTCAAGCTTGAGGTAAGTTTATTGTCACATATGTTCAACTTATCATTTCCAATATAAAACCAATTCAAAGGTCTTATGACTGGAAAGATTTTACTATGAGAAGCAGCTTAAAGTGTTAGATTAGCAAGAAAATGCCATTTCACTTGTTGCCATCTAAACCCATGGCTATGGCTGTAGAACTGTTTACACAATTTTCTTAAAATAAACATGATGCAATAACAACACCATCTCCAATTACTGACTTGCACTAATGCGAGTGTCTATTTTAAATGACTTTAAACTATAAAAGGTGAAGTGAATTCACTGTACTTCATTTGTTTAATTTTTCGTTCTCTAGGTCTGAGATATTGAGCAGAATTCAATTGCAATTGCAATCATTTATTAGCAAAGACAGAGTGGGATACCAGTAAACATAACAAGAAGACCTTTGACACTCAACCAGAAAGGACAAACTTCCCATGGCACAAAGGCAACATGGCACTAACAACATCAACATTCCTAGACAAACTGAGATAATCTAAATAGAAAAGCTTTTAGACTGCTGTTTTACTTAAGATTCACAGTCGAACACTAGGTGCATCACCTCTTCTTAAATGTAAGCTTCAAGACATTTTGGCTCTTGTCTTTTTACGTGGAGCAATGCCCACCAAATAACGTTTAAGGGGCCAATTAGGGTCAGTCCCTTAGGGGTACCCTGTGTCAGCGAGGCAGCTAGTAGCTAAAGCCAGCCACTGGCCCAGAGCCAACACACAACAGAACCAAAACAATACCCCCATTACATAACATCAATTACCAGTGAGAGACTGAGAAAAACGTAACCACTTCAATTACCAACACAGTATTCACTCCATAATTTAACCCATTCTGCTACAAAAGCACCCCCAGATTTATACTACAGTTTAAGCAAGATTACACCCTTTGCTATAATGATACGTTATCCTCTAAACTTCCATACAATACTGGTTAGATGGCATTGTATTTTAATATGTATCTGTGTAGATAGAGTGGGAATTAAACCACTGGTGTCAAAAATGTAGTGTCAAATTGTTGTTTCATACAGGTGAAAAATCACTGAATTCTAAACATGTAAACAGAAATCTGGAGCACAGAATTGTAGATTATTGAAACAAGACAAACATTGTGGTAGAAATGGTTGCATGCAGATCTTTTGCTCTAAACTTGTTGATGTCTCTCCACCATGGCAGCATTTGGTCTGCATCATTTCCTTTTGACACACACAAACACACAAACACAAACACAAACACAAACACACACACACACACACACACACACACACACACACACACACACACACACACACACACACATCCAACAAAAGCATTAACAGAAACCTGACAGCCACTCAACAGCTGTCAGCTGGAGATTGTTATAAAGCATTTTTGAAAATGAAACGAATAAGTGGCCCTTGACATATAATATGCTTGATGTCAGGTTGGAAGCTTGATCAACACGTGGCCAGTGCTGATGAGTGAACGTGTTTGATCAGCTAACCTTCAATCTACTAAAGGTCCAACACATCCAAGCTTACTGTATCTGTTGCATTTTGTGGGTGAGTATTCAGTTTTTCCAGGGCTCTAGCTTTATTTACATCCTAAACTATTGTTCCCAAGCAGCAATGCGTTCTAATGGCCACGTGAGCTCCACATGCTTGACTGCGTGTTACATCAACAAAACTGCAGCATACATACCACTGGATACAAAGCCTTTAAAAAAGGACATGTGCCCATGTGATGTCTCTTGAAAAGCCACAGTGGAGCACTGCAGGTGAGTGGCTTTATGGCGTTTAGGATATTGTAGGGTACCAGCTGTCAGTGAATGAGTACAACAATTAATAGAAGCTATCCGGACTTTGTTAATTTCACTTGTAACATCAGAACTCTTCAGACAGCTCTGGCCTAAGCCATGCGTCCCCTGCGTCAACAGGATCACCTCCCAATCAGCTTATTATGATGATATTAATCACCTTGAAGCACTGACCACAGAATAAAAGGAGGTCAACAACCACTACTACATATATTGGAATAATATTTTCTGTATTGCCTTCATTATTACACATGACTGCTTTAATATTTACCCTGCTGCAGTGCTCATAGCTACTAGGCTTACATTTTTCAACAGCAACATCCATCTGAACCATTAACTGTCACTTTTGACGCTTGGGATGCTATAATACTGCAAACTCTGTCTACATTTCCCAAACGGTATTTGCACAATCACTACTTCAGAATTTGAGACTTTCTTATACTCCAGCCTTGGTAATATGGACTGTTATTGCTTTTAATTTATTGTTTCATTTAAATTTTGAAATGGAGGCATATTTAACTTTTTAATGTGTCAATATGTGTGTGAGTTGCAACGTAATAACTGAAAACCAATTAATGTGGAAGAAAAGCATCATGTGACCTGAGGCATTCTGAGGCTCTAGTTTAGTTTAAGATTTGCTCATGTTTCACGGTGGTTCTAGATTACAATCAGCATGCTTTGATCATATCATCCGTAGCAATCTGCTTAAAGGGCTTATAAAAGAGCGCTTCACCAAAAGTTGCCTTTCCCATGATAAATTACATTTCTAATCTATTAGAAATGAATATGTGTTCAGTTCTGAAAAGCCACAAAACTCATGCAATAAAAAAAAAAAAAAACAACAATCATGCTTGCTTAAACTCGCCAATAGGCAACAGCTGAAGTATGGACACACACAAGTCTCACAGATAGGGCAGACTGAGGTCAAAAAAGGAAATCCACACCTACGGATTTGTGGAAACAGTTTAGAAAGGAGAGAGTAGTGCTGTGGAAAAAAAATATACTGTATGTCACATGACTCAGAAAAAAATGGGCTGCAGAAGCCACCGCTTAGATTCAGAAGGGAAGTGATTGTCACAGGTACCCAAATGTCCACACCAGAAAGAATGTATCGGCCAGCTAAGGCTATAGCTCAGCTCAACAGAAATGAAGAATTTTCTCATACAAACAAACTATTATATGCACCAAGAGTAAAAAGGAAAAACTCATCATTATTTCCCAGTGACTGTAGCGTCATGAGATAAAACTGTATCACTTGCATCCCATTATTCCCCTTTATCTTATTAGACTCACTGGTTTGTACCATAGACTGTAGGGTTTGTTCAACATGCAAGATCCACCAGATGAAAAGAATAGAGCTGATATAGCAACTATACATTTAGTTGTCAGTTTATTACATACACCAAGCTAAAACTAATGCAGTCTAATACATACAGTTCTACCTTCAGGAGAGTTATGTTCAGTTTTTTTTTTATTGTTTTAGAGAGGTGTAGATTCACCTGTATGATCATTTTAGAGGCTGCAGTTTGTGGTGATGTTGAACTGCACTGCAGTAAACAGAGATGTTTCTGTTATTTATCCTACCCTCATTGATATAAATGAGATGGACAAAATAAAAGAAATACCTGTCAGTACAACACAGTGATTTTTGGCTGACAGGCAGATTTAATGGTTAAATCTAAAAAGATAAGTTGCCTTGACTGCAACCCCCAAAAAATCCTATCTCCCTTTATTTATTTATTCATCTTTATTGAGAACAGTAAGATAATGAAGACAGGGTTCAAAAGTAACTGCTTACATTTTTTCCGGAAGTAACACATTATATTCTGTATGTGGATGTGGTAACACTATTTAAGCAGCTATTATTTCGGCATTCTGACACACAACCTATAATAATCAAACACATCCAGTTTCTTGTTTCTCAGCATCATTTAAATCAAGACTATGTGGCCATTCTCTTGCACTGACCTGAAGCAGAAACAGTTGCTTGGTTATTTCCATGGCTATTTTGTAAAAGGTACAGCCTAATGCCTTATAGTAATAATCAGTCACACTGCGACTTCACAGTTAACAGGTATGTGAGAAATGTTTGCCAGCCACAACAAATACTAGGACACGAAGAAAGGCCATTGTGGGTTGTCATACATAAACCAAGCTATGACAACGAGAGGAGGAGGTGACAGTGATGCACTGACAGATACAGGAGGGAGATTAGCTGTGACTGCACATCCACTATATTTTTTAAGTTGCATAATACACTTTGTACCGAAACCACCTTTTTGAATGTATCTTTTCCTTCAAAGCTTTCACTTCCAACAAAGAGTAACTATGGAAAAACTTGATTTTATTGTATTCAAGCTGTAAATGAAGCACATGTGTTTATTTCTGCTCATGTTCAGCACACTAGTTCTGAAGGGCCTACGTCTCTGTTTCACAAGAGGGAATCACCAAATTGATTGCAAGCATAGTTAAATGACATGTAAGGAAGCACATGACTGTGCAGAAGCATGGTAGTTTGCCTGTACTATGGCACTCCACTATAACCAACAGCACATGCATGTTTGCACTATACACTTCTTACATTACGCCAGTAGTGTATAGTTTAAACATGTATGCACAGTTTCCATCACATGTCATCTCAGTCACAATTCTGTTGAAGAGGAATGACATGAACTGTGAATGTCTAGCTGCTTGGCTGTCATATGCACATCAGCAACGAATTCTCTTCTCTAATAAACCATCTCTGCTTTAGATTGAATTTTGCATCAAAGACAGTCATAACGAAAACATTAGCACATTACTGATACCTAGGTACTATGCCAACCATCTATTTGATCAATATCGCCACAGCTCTTAACACAAAGCTGCATTTCAGCAATGTAAACATGTACCAAAAGGTAGCACGTGATCCTACAGTCTAATGCCTTTTTTCCACTTGATACTTAAAATCGTTTTCAAGCTTTGACCAGTAATATTTAGTGTAACATTGTAAATCCACGCCCGGTAAGCTACCTTGCATTTGGCAGTTTTAGTCACAAGAAGGATTGGGGAAGGGAAAGCGGACATAATGATGCACTGGACAACAATGACAGGAATTCAGACTCAAAGCAGACAGCGCTGTAACGTTATACTGTATGCTCAATCCAACAACAAGGCCAACGTCTCTGCCGTTTGATCCCCGTTACAACATACGACAGAGCATTAAGAAAGTTGAGCTAGCTAAATACCCGGTTGCACAGAGCTAGCTAGAACCAAAATTGTGCTATTCTGTATTCTGGTATGTGGTTTGCTGGTGGCTAGCAAGCAACACATCAGCAGCTAAAGCAGCAAACAGCTGGCCTGCATACGTAACCAGCGTGAGCCCGTGTCATTTTCCTCTAGTCTGCTTCGTTAGCTCATCGAGCTAGTATTAGCCCTGTGTGCTAGCTAGCATCGCCGGCGCCGAATAGCTGTCTGTCAGTGAAAAAAAGCCCCCAAACTTCGTATTTCATCACCTACCCATGTCAAGAGGCTTTCACAGAGTTCCATTCGATCCAATGACTCCGATGTACTCATTGTTACCTAATGTAGACTGACTTTGAGTGGCGAACTGAGCCTGAAGTTGATAGTCGGCTTCATACACTCCCGAGGTCTCTGGCTATCCGTTGGCCAATAGTCTGGTTCGCTGCTCCGCTACTTCGGCGTCTGCCAGAGGAGGGCTGGGTGGGCGGAGTCTGCAGCGTATTTAAAGGAAAACTCCCACTATTACAGACAAAAAGATCAATCGGGAGAAAATTTGCTCTAGGATACGAGGGACATGGAGAACATTTAAGTGAGACACACATTAAGCTTCTCATTTAAATGGCACTTTCAAGGGCAAGGAGGGGAAAGAAAACACTCCTTGGGACAAATTAAGATACGAGGGGGACCTGGAGCCAAAATGACCTGTTAGCCCCTACCATTTCAGTTTTATTGTGCTTAATTGGTGCATATTACCAGACAAATCTCCAATTTGTATTCTATCATATAACCACAAAGTAAATGCCACACAGATTAACCTGGGACCTGGCCCCAGACCCTCGGTGGAAGTAACAGTTGCCCTGTTTGCCCTTTAGGCAAGTCCAGCCTCAACGGGTGGGAACAAATAGTATATGTTCTAACAAAATTAATTTTCAGGGCTCTAAAATGTATCCAACTACAATTATGGGGAAACATTATTTTGTTTGAAATGGTCACATCTGGTGGACATGTACATCTGGTGACAAAGGTCATGCATAGACACTACTCTAAAAAAACTAATAATAATAAACACTGGTATGTTCATTTGCCATTTATAAGAGGCAATTTTGCTCCCAAGCTATGACAAACAAAATAGCACTTCATTCATTCTAGGAGTGCTCAGCTTAGATGATGGTCATGCCCACAACATGTAGAAGTAATTGAAAAAGTTAGTACATGAATTCAATAACACACCCAATGACTTGCAGACAAAACTGAAGCAGTCCATAATATGAGTAGCTGCCTCATATACCCCATTTCATTGAACAGTGTCAAGTTTGGGAAAGTGCACAGCTGACTCACTTCCTTCAGAAAGACAGAGGGGTTGTGCTCAGACAAGTCTGCATCATGCTTACACAGATTTGTCTAGAACATCACAGGAGCAGACCACACACCAATAAATGTTGAATGTCTCGACAGAGATCTTGACTGATGAGTCGTTATTGAATCCATCAAAGAATATCACAGGATTGTTTCATAGCTTCAGTCACTTAAGGGCATTTTTTGGTTGACAACTCTCAATCCTGAGAAAGCATTGACTCTTCCAGCAGCTACAGTATTTTCCCACCAGGCGAAGACTCTCATCTAACCGGTTCTCAGCTGTAGAACAGCAGAAGCATTCACAACACATGCTGCTCTCATTGCCCTTTGTTTACCTACCCAAAACCAAAAGGGTGGAGGTTGCTCAGACACCCTGGAGACAAAGTGGAGGTGACTGCAAAAAGGTATGACATGGCTTGACATGTGCCACACCTCACCATAACATTCCAAGCGCGAACTGATGTTCCTTTCTAGTAATCTACAGCTGTCAAACAAACTGAATGGGTTTTACAGTCGTTATCCAGCACATGAACCTCAAGCTCTATTCATGAACACGAAGGCCAATGCTGGCTCAGAAAATAGAGCCCCAAGAAAGCAAATGGCCTGGATACAGTTTCAGCTACCACTCTGAAACAGCCATTTTAGGCTTTAGGGTCAAGACCCCTCATGGACATAGTAACTCTAGGATGCCGAGAAAGGTTTTACAGGAACACGGGTGTAAAAATAATTTCTAAAATTAAATAACTACTCATTATTGGCCTGTCTTCTGATTGTCAAATAAACCAGAAAACTCTCCACACAAGCTATGGCAGTTGGTTCATTAACAGGGTCACAATTCAAAAAGCTTGAGAATGACAACTGCATCTTTACTGTGCACCAGTATTAATTACTAATGGAGCTCTTCAAGTGATCACTTCGACAGTCTGAGAGTCTACTCATTCATTTTATACCCATGTAGCCCTCAAGACAATGTTACTTTGCCAAATGAATATAACTTTTGCAAAATATTTACAAGAAATTAACTGAATCACACACTGCACGTTAACTCCATTTTTGATTAAAAATAAAATCTCTCTCTAAATGTACTTACAGATTAAAAAAGCAGAACACTGGCGTTCCACAAATTGATTGACAAAAAAGTTTTACAGTGTACATGGAGTTGTTCAACCACTGACTTAGATCTGTGCTGGAGACTCATAATTATCAATAGAGTGGCAAGGTAAACTTTGACATGGTAAGTCAGCATTCATAAATTGAGTGAGTTTACATTCAATGGAATCTGTAATTGCTCCTTGATACCTTTAGTTTGGTTTCTTTTTATGATCATAGGATTACTTTTTATTTCTTTGATAAAAATCTGTCATTTCAGAAGTCATTATGCATCAGAAAGGTTGTCCTGTGCTTCTTCAGTTCTCATGGATACATGCAGATTTCATTAGATCTGATCAACTGTCAACTGCAGGTAAAAATGATTCAGTGATTTTCACACAAGCATGAAAAGCTTTGTTTTTCATGTCTTTCTAAATATGCATAGCCACTTGTTACTTCAATAAGTGCACCAACAGTGTAACTGACCAAACAGGCTGTATTAGCCACAGCGAGATTGCTCTTGTAACACTCCTTTGTCTGGCAGGCAACAACTTGGATGCAGCAGGCAGCCAAATTTAAATGCATATAATTAAGACAGAACAATCAAGATCATATTATATTACAACAATGTCTCCATTATGATGGTATGCCCGATAATAAAAGGACTGCTTTTGGCAATGCTGTCAAAGAATTGGCTGGTAGTACTGCTAGTCATTCAGTTAGAGCTGTCCCTGACATACTGCAGTGTCTGATTCAAAGTAGATTTCTACATCACATCCTTCCACAGCTCTCATTATGTTTAACTGTTGTTGGCTTTGACCACATTTAACCTATGAACCACTAATGATGATTTCTATATACAGAGTAAACATTCAGAGCTCAGTCTCTAGATAGCTCCTCTCCAGTGATGAAGTAACATCTTAGGCTTTAAAATGAACCAGCATAATTGATGAACTGTCCTCTGAACATTTATTCAGTCTTCATGTCCACCTGAGCTGCTGAGTTCCCTTCTTCCTGAGCCTGACATGAGCAAGCTAAGGCCTCTTGTGCAAGTCATCACCTAGCCGTTCAGTCTCTGTGTAACCACCTCTCTGTACATGATAGAGATGTACACAAAGAGAAGCAGGATTACAAAGAAATCATCCATGAATCCCAGGAGGCCGAAAAGCGCCTCGGGGAGGATGTCGAGTGGCGAGGCCAGGTAGGTGAGTGCGCCAACTAGGCAGAGAAGAATTCGAATCCTGAACATCCAGAAGAGGCCACCCACAGAGAACATCTCCCTAAAGGCATGACGAAGCAGGGTGGGCACATCTCGCAGCCTGTCCATAAACTGAGGAGACAGAGGAGGAAATATTATGAAGAAGTCTGTTCTAAATATACTCCCCTGAATTATAATGCACTGCACAAGTCAGTATCTCATTTGCATGCGTGTATTTTTTACCAGCAGTGCTATAGAATACATGCAGTTTGGTGGGAAAGTTTTTTTTTTTTTTTTAAATTCCCGCTATGTTTTAATACTAAAAAGTAGAGTAACTGAACATCTATGACAGGACACCAGAAGTGTCTCTAGTAGCATCTTCATCCTATTTCTATCTCAAGAATCATTGTGTTTCTAGTCATGGATATGTACAAGTAATTTAAGTATGAATATTGCATTAAGTATGCCAAGCTAACCTGTAACTTCTACAAGCCTAAATGTGTATACAGCTATAGTATACTCACAGATCTTGGCTGGCCTGAGAACCTGCGATTATAATCGTTGATGTCTCGTAATATGAGCAGAGGTTCTGCCTCACCATCCTGGACCCTCTGAGGATTGGCATGCTCATGAAATAGTGGGAAGAGCAATGTTACCTGGAAAAGGGAAAAAAAACTCAATACATGACAACACTAATGCTAAGAGGAACTCTAGGGGTTAAACCTGCATTAACAGACACATTCCAATGAGGAAACAGTAACACTGTGTACCCAGAGATGAAAAGAGACATCAAGCTTTGACTAAGCAGGTGGGATAGGCTATGGGGCTATCTGAGGGGGTGAGGACTACTACCATCACTCTCCTTGACACAAATATCACTCATTTCCTTTTTCTATGACGACTATGACTATGATTTCCACAATAACAGGAGATAATTAAACTGAAAATGAAAGGTATTTCATACCCAGAGATAAACAAGTACAAGTCTTAATAGATGAGAGAATTTATATACAGTATCTCACATATATATCGATAAATTTGCAAGCAATGGTCAGTATGTACCAGAATGTCTAGCATGCAAAAACTAATGCAATTAATGCAAAAATAAAAGGTGTAAGGTTAACAATTCTACATTCAAGATTCATTACATGCCTTACCATTTGTCTGCAGATGGGGCAGTTAATAGCACCCAGCCAGGTGCCATACCTCCAGTAGGCAATAATGCAGGAGCCTATGCAGGAAAAAGATAGCACTGAGTACAAATAAAACAACTAATATATGAATTGATAAATTTGTATTTTGAATTTTATATTCTGTTTTTATTTTCTGATTTCTGTTTGAAGCTAAATCAGCTTATACCAACAATTCATCCTCATAACGCCACGGTTTGGTTTTGCTTGGTAAGTATTACTAAGATCCATACAATTGTCTTACCACAGAAAAGGTGTCCACAATTGGTTTCCACTGGCAGAACAGCCTGCTGTAAACACACGGGACAAGACATGTCTGTGTAATACTGCTGCCTGGCCTCCGCTTGCAGATTTTCATCCTGACAGAAAGAAATCAATTTCATAAAAGTTCAAAAAACATATGAAAATTTAATATAAACTGTAAATAATCATATATACAGACAATTTTGAAATTTGCATTCTAGCTGAAAGATAAACCTATCACAAATCCTGCAAAATAACAAAGTGTATTACCTTATTTGCTACCCGCAAAATATATTAAATGGGTCAAATATTCTTTGAGATGTGTAGAATTAAAGTATTTCATGATTAATTTTGAGTTCCCTTTTGCAATTTCCCGTGGTGATTGGCATTGTACACCTTTCTGCTTACTTCTCCCAGCTTTCTGCTACTTTTTAACCTAAATAATGAAGAGACAATCCTAAACAAAATACATTCTCATACAACGGTACAGAAAATAATATTATCTTAAAACTTTTTCTCTTATTATAAACACACAAAATGCATATATAATATTACATTTTGTTCAGCTGGTGTATAAAATGGATGACAGCTTCCGAGTTACAATATGATTCTAAAACTTGACTCAATCTGTTTTCAGCGCCTTTACATGCATTTGAAAATAATACTGTCATATGGTCTAAAATATACAAACTGTAGAACAATTCTGTAACTAAATGTAATTTTATTCATCTTCCAAAAAATGATTCTAACAACTCAAACAAATTTTATGTATTTTTGTTGTTGTTTGTATGGTTTTCTTGTAAACCATATTTGGCTCGAAAGGCTAAAGTTTCATTTGCCTGCATACCTGCTCTGTTTGAAGCTGTTGTCGGACGGCTCGAACATGCTCCTGATTCTCAGGATGAATGTTTTGCTCCTCTTCTCTGCAAAAGACAAATGGCAGATATTTGATACATTATCAATATGTGTGAGCTGAAAGTGTAAACATGTAACAGCACTAAATCCTTAGTCCTGTGTTTTTGGCTATGCAAAATAACAGGATGATTTTACATCTAATTGTGTCATCAAACAAAAGCTTTGGACATCTAATGCAAAACACCAAGCAAAGTCGTAATAACTGTGTTATTATTTGGCTATGAGGAGCAGGTTTTAATGTGTCAGTTTGGCTGCTACTGGCTACTGGAGAGATGTGAAACTAAGTTGCTCGTATGGTGTAAGGTTGTATTTACGGATTACTTACATTTGAATTACAGAAGAAATCAAATGACCAGAGCTAGATAAATGTTTGGGTTGGCCAACAGCCAAGAGACAAATTCATCTATATGAGACTGAGCCAGCAGTAAAGTTTTGATGTTAAGTGGAATATACTAATTGGGCCAGATTAGGCAACCAAAAAAGACTACTGCTTTTAAAACTGAGTTTCTCCACTATTTAAGGCAACTTTGCCTCAAAAACACATAAACTGAACTTGCTTCTTACCTGCACAGCAGAGTGAGGAGGCCTGCAAGGAAGGTGATACTGAGCACTACAACAAATAAGACCTGGTTGCTGACACCTTCAATGAGGGTGTCCTCATCTTGGATCAGGTAGTCCAAGTCCTCACATTGGCTGTCCTCCATCACCCACACTCATAGTCTACAACACTAGGAAACAAAGAGACAAAAAAGAGGTTAGTACATAACTGGAAACAGTTCTGTTTCCAATCCTTCATTTCTCTATAGAAAGAAATGAGAATACATTGCTTTCTACATTAGGAAAATACTGCATTTTCATTATTATTGTTTAAATGTTGTTACCTTAAAATGGCATTAAGAAAAAAACGTACTACCTTTAACTACAATCTAAATAATCTAATCTACTGGGTAATACACCAAATAATACATCTAGATTTTTCACTGAACACAGCCACAAACAAAAGCTTGCTTTGGTTAATGTACCAAAACAATGATGCCTAAAGTTATATCGGTTCATGTCCTCTGTGAGTGTCAAGTAGATTTTTGTCATTTAGTCACTTTAATTAAAATGTTTCAGCAGAGACATAAAAACAAGTTGAATTTTCAATATTACGCTACAAAGACCTGTTTTACATTAACTAGCTAAACATTAGTGAGTCTCTAAGTCTTATCGTTAGCACATCTACAAAACTAGCCAACACGGCTGGACAGTCAAATTTCCAAGAATACTTCTAAGCCAAGATCCCAAAACGTCTACAAAGCCGTTGACATTAACTATCCTGATATTATCAGTCTGCTATAAGCTTACAGTTAAGTTAGTGCTCACCACACTGCTAGCCAAGTTTAGCGTTAGCCTTGACTCGCTAATAATACGCCGTAATTCATTTATGAATACTGCTGACGTTGATGGCCAACGTTGTATGGTTTCGCTTTGGGCAGCCCCCTCCGCCGGTGGACAGTAGCTAGGGTTATTAAACACCGATAAAAGACAGCTGTTCAACTAAATCCGAGCTGAAGCAGGACATTACCACTTGTAAATCATAAACATAGCCCGGGTAGCCAAGAGCTCCTGGGTCTTGTTGCTACGTTTAGCTGCCAAAGAGTCACTAGAGCCAAGAGCACAATCGAGCTAATAGAGTCTATGTAACCCGCTAACTACACCATAATCCATTGCAGTGCAAAATAGGGCATAACACGTTACCTCAGCTACCCACAAGAAGTCCACCTTTGTCTAAAGGCTTGACGTGTCAACTCCATTCATTCCCCGTGACATTTTCTTTCGATGACAAATATTAGAGAATCAGTCACACAGTCACGTTGTGAGCGAGTGTCAGCTGCTTAGTTACTTTTGCATTTTGTTTCAGTTTGTTGCTTCCCCCTCTTTTTCTTCCTCTGGGACTGTTCATTTAGACGCTTCTTGTACTGCCTCACTCAGGTAGTTAGCCTTTGGTAGTTAAAAAAAAAAGTAAAAAAGAAAATTAAATAGATCTGGACCTGACTGATATGATTCCCTGCACCAAAGAGGTGCATTAATTTTACTATTGCATTTCCTGTTTTTTTAGAGAAAATGTTGGACTATCTCAGAACTACCACATGTGCATAAACCAGTTTAATATTTTAATATTACTCATCCTACTTATTTAACTACATCCCTACAGTCATTCCTGGTTAGCCTTTTTGGTCAGAAGTTATATCTGTTTTCTTTTTTCTTAAAACAAATAATCTTCCCTTCTCCAAACAAAACAGTGAACATCTCATTAATAGAGTTGGCTTTTGATTCCCCCCTCACAGCTATCAAAGCAGCAGCTGAGTCAGAGCATGAGACACGCCTATCAATCCTCTTTTCCTGTGTGCTTCATTTTACTTCCCATTCTGACCACCAGGCAGTAGTAGTGAGTAGAACTTACAACTGGTGTGAATATCTTTTACATTACGAAGAAGTACTGGGGCATCCGTTTACAAAATATAGCTAGCTACAGCCAGTGAATAAAGACACCTACATTTACCACAACACTTTTTAATTGAGGCAAAATGCCTCGTTATGCACAGCTAGTGATGGGCCCGGCGGGCAGCGGGAAGGTACGTCATCAGACATTCACCTAAACTTACTGAAATGTCTTGTTAATGCCATTCGGCTAACGCGCTATGCTAAGGCATGAGGCTGTCTTGTCTACACATAGACTGAGTTTAAGTGACATCTTCCTTTCATTTAATTATTGCTGAAGCTTAATATTTTATTTTTTCCAGAGTACCTACTGCTCCACACTGGTCCAGCATTCAGAAGCCCTAAACCGCTCAGTTCAGGTGGTCAATCTGGACCCAGCTGCTGAACACTTTGACTACCCTGTTATGGCAGGTGAATATAGCCTGTTGTTTCTTCGCAAAAGGATAGTTACAGTTAATTACACTGTTAGAGTTAGCTGTATATAATCCAGAACAGAGGGGGTAATAAATGTTTAGCCCATTAAATAAGTAATAAAAAGAGATTTATATAGTTTCTGTCATTGCATGCGTATGTATATAAATGGTGCTTTAGATTTACTTTGAAAACACTGAAGCGCTGAAATGTGATTTGCTGTTAATAGATAGGTAGATGGATAGGTCGAATAGTTAGTTCCCATACAGTATAACAGCACACTAAACTAAGAAAATAAGTTGTATAATCACAACTGAGACTGAGGAATGTGCCTATGTAATGGTATTTGCTATAGTGCAGCTAAAAAGAAAGCAATTCTTTATGAACATGTTTCTATGGCTAGAGGGGAGAGGGATAAAATGTTAGTAAGATAAATGTTTAGATCTACATGACCCACATGTCAACCTCATTGTTTCTGTGTCCTCAGACATCCGTGAGCTCATCCAGGTGGATGACGTGATGGAAGACGATTCTCTCAGATTCGGCCCTAACGGAGGCCTGGTCTTCTGCATGGAGTACTTCGCCAACAACTTTGACTGGCTGGAAGAAAGCCTGGGTCATGTAGAAGATGACTACATATTGTTTGACTGCCCAGGTAAATGGAGGCATGCTGAAGGGGTTTACAAACTTTGTGCTGACCTGGTGTGAGGAGGTGAAGTGGAGAGACTTAAGGGGTGCTGACATGGGAGGGCATCTGTTCTGTCAACACAAAGTGTGGTGCAGTTTTGACAAGTGGCTTGATTTTGCAGGTCAAATTGAACTTTATACGCACCTCCCTGTAATGAGGCAGCTGGTGGAGCAGCTCCAGCAGTGGGAGTTTCGGGTGTGCGGTGTGTTTCTGGTTGACTCCCAGTTCATGGTGGAGTCATTTAAGGTAATCTCCCCAATACTTTCATCTGTTTATTTGAGTTACCATGTTTGTTTTTGTAAACACACCTCACTTCTGCAATAGACTGCACTTAACGTAGCAATGACAGTAAGCCTGAAGTTGCACATCTTCCCTCATTGCAGTTCATCTCAGGAGTCATGGCTGCCCTCAGTGCCATGGTGTCATTAGAGATTCCTCAAGTAAACATAATGACCAAAATGGACCTGCTCAGTCCCAAAGCCAAGAAGGAAATTGAAAAGTAAGTTTCATAAGAGTACAGTATAACAGTACAAATATGTTATGTGTGTTCAGTTTATATGAAACCTGCAGCAATGATTCCCTTTAATGTTAGTACTAAGGACCAAGTAATGGAAAGTTAAAAGTGACTAAAATGTGTGACGTGTTTCGAAATTGAATTGTATAGGGTTTGAAGTTCTCTTACTATAGATAGTGAATGCACATGAAATAGCCTTTTCATCTGGAAACAGCACTCCTCATGGTTTGCTTTCTTTTTCACTAGGTATCTGGACCCAGATATGTACTCAATGATGGAAGATAATTCTGATACTATCAAAAGCACAAAGTTCAAGAAGCTGACTAAAGCCATCTGTGGTCTGGTAAGTGAGGCCACTAATTTGATACTGCATTTAATTTTGAATCAGAATTCAGATTTTGTTTTAATAGACAATCTCTCTGCCTGTGTCTAGATTGATGACTACAGCATGGTGAGATTCTTGCCTTTTGACCGCACAGATGAGGAAGGTATTAACATAGTACTACAACACATCGACTTCTCTATACAGTATGGAGAGGATCTGGAATTCAAGGAGCCAAAGGTGAGGAAACAAACAAAAACAAAACACAACATATAATTTAACAACACGGTGTAATTACATTGCATCTTTTCCTTTTCTACAGGACGTTGAGGAGGAGCCCGCTAACCTAAATTACGATGAGATTTTTCAAGGCAAAGTGGACAGCTGAAGAGTAATGTGACTCCAGAGATGCTACGAAAAAGACTTTACATGAGATGAAAACCGAATACGAGGCTGATGAAAAAACAAGACGTATTATATCAAGGCCAAGTGGAGAATTGCATGTGACTTCAACGTGAGAATGGGGGGAAAAAGACTCACTCTGAAGATCATGAATACCCAGTGTCATATGTTTAGAATGTTTTGTTTTTGTGAGCCACTTTGATGACTCAAGAAATTTGTAATTTAAATCTATTCTCTTTTCATTATTTTAGGACAATGCTTAAGTTTAAAGAGGTGTTATTAAATACATTTATATTTTTAAATAAAATATTGTACAAAATGTACTACCTGCCTGCAGTTGTGAAGAAATAGTGCGTGTGCTTTGTGTATACAGTCTGTGTTTTGTGTTAGCGCCCTCATGTGGTCACTGCGCGACATGACATGTAGCTACTTCCTGTAAAGCTGAAGGGTGGGACAGGCGGAAGCAGGGTCCTGTGGTGCTAATATTTTTCTCTCGCTGAGCAGTTGGACTGATTTATTTATCACTCAGCATGCCGGTGAGTAAAAATTGCATGACAATTGACAAACTGAAGCGTTTATTGTGGGCTTCAGAGCAAATAATACCTACACAGAAACTCCAGTTGGTGACACAAGGCCCTCCGACTTAACGCTAGCTCTGATGGCGAGTCTCGTTAGCATATTTGGTTAGCCACATTAGCATTTGCTTGCAATTTAACGATGCTGGAACTGTTAGAACTAATAAATTCGCCTTTGTAACTAAGTTGCTAATGCTTCTTAGTTTCGTATCTATAAAATATACGGTCTTGCATGGTGATAGCATAGGTGTTAAAGCAGAGGTGCCGAAAGCAGAGATGCCACTGATGCTATCTGATAGAAATGTTCCCAGTAAAAAATGAACATGACAGCAACTTTTTTCCTCAATTTTTAAGGCGTATCACTCAAACCTGATGGTTCCTGAGACCAGGCTGGTGGGGAACATGGCTCTGCTCCCCATCAAAACTCAGTTCAAGGGACCAGCCAGAGGAGACGGTAAGGCTTTACGGTGATTTTTACAAGCCCGAACTGGAGCCGACCCACACTGACAACAGAAACACATTCGTTATGTTTAGTTTTTAACGGCTTACTTAATTACTTCGGTTAAGTTTGTGCAGATTTCATTCCTTATTATGACACGTTGCTCAGTTCCTGATACATGCTTTTGCTTCACTTCCATATATGGCCTGAAGAGTGCATCCTGAAGTTCAACTTCTTTAATTTCCTGTGACACTAAGTTTACAAATTTTCTGTTTGTAAAGCTGTTTGTGAAGATTTTTTTAGAATTTTTGCATTATTGTACATGTCATCTATGGATGTAATAATTTACAGAACATTAGCATTGCTTACGTATCATATAGTGGTGTCATGATTTGATAAATTTCCATCATAGCAAAATAACCAGAATATGCCACTTTTCAAGTTATTAAAAACTGAGCATTATAATTGTATAATATTATACATAAGAAATGGGGTTTGGCCACTTGGAGTGGTTTCTCAACTGCCTTTAGATGACAAATCAAATATAGTGCCACATAAAAAAAGATATGTGGTGACCAAAACAGGAAATAACTTTGTCTTGATAAACATAGTCAGCACTTAGATTGATCACTTCATTATGTCTTGACTTGAGAGTCTTGCATTTATTTATATATATATTGGTTTTCATTTCAGGCATAGACTCAGACATCATTGATGAGGCTATCTACTACTTCAAAGCCAATGTTTTCTTTAAGAACTATGAAATTAAGGTAAGGAATTTACTGTCACTTTTGATGGCAACTTGCCTTTATCCCTCATCACATATGACTAAACGTAGCTGCCTGTAATCATTGAACTGAGCCAAATTAAACAAAAAGAAGAAGAAAAAAAAGTGTTTAAAGTTTTTAACAGCTAAGATACGAGCATGAGGAGCAAGCATGTACCTCACTAGTGTGCTTGTTCCTGTGAGTTTTTTCTCTTCCCCATCTCTCTTTGTGTTGAGAAACAGCTGTGCACTTCGTTCCTCCGCATGCCCCAGCTTGCTTCTTCTCATTCCCCTCAGCACTACATAGTTGCTTGAGATTTAAACTATGCAACCTTTTACCATTCAGACCTGACTAGAGATGTCCTAATCAAAATAAGTAATGTGAGTGTATTTGTTTCTTTCAGAATGAGGCTGACAGGACGCTGATCTATGTCACACTCTACATTTCTGAATGCCTAAAAAGACTACAGAAGGTAAGGTGTATATTGGTTCATGTACAGAGGTTGCAGAGGTGGATGTTTGCACTCTATACTGGCTTCATGCAAATCCTAATATGTGTAACAACAAATCAACCAAAGGCTGAGGATCCTCAAAGGGCTCACCAGATGTTTTTTAGGGAGCCATTAAAAGATAAGTAGACTAAATTGCTTTTCCTTGCATGCAAGGAGAAAGAATTAGCAGCTTAAAGGTCTATTTTAAAGGATATTAGTCAAACAGATGAGCTAAAGTTTATTTAGTGATCTCACCCTCTGCATCGGCATATGTGTGGCTCATTACAGTGCAGCTCCAGGAGCCAGGGAGAGAAGGAGATGTACACTCTGGGCATCACTAACTTCCCCATTCCTGGAGAACCTGGCTTCCCTCTTAATGCTATGTACGTCAAACCTACAAACAAGCAGGAGGAAGGTAAGAACAAGCGCTTTCAATAAGGTCTAATATGTGTTGGCCTGCAGAAAACAAAACAAAATAAAGTGTGAGTCTTGCTAATTTGGGCACTTCACCTTATTTCTACTGATTGTTAGCAGTGAATCAGTGAGGTCCATTTATGTCGTTTCACTACCCTGTACTCTGAATTAGCGCCAGTTACCTTGTACCCTTCTTATATTTCAGCTAATTCCTAACTGAGTAATATCAAGCCAAAAATAGTAATGTCAACCAAGGCCCTATCAGCTTTAAGGATCTCAGGCTGGAAGTGCTGTTTCATGCTTGTGTGGTGTCCGTCAGCGTCTGTATTTACTGGCTTTTTTTTCTGTAAAATTAAGAATATATTAGGGTTATGGGTCAACAATTTAAGCAGTCCCTAATGTCCCATTTCCCACTTGTGACATATGCAAGGTGTGACTCTCCTCATAAACTACTGTCAACTGGTAAACACTGTGATGATGTAGGTGGTTGTTATAATACTGATGCATGCCGCAACCTTTTTCAGAGACTATGAGAGCATACCTCCAGCAGATCCGTCAGGAGACCGGCTTAAGGCTATGTGAACGTGTATTTGACCCCCAGACAGACAAACCCAGCAAGGTGAGCCAAGCATCTCCAAAATAACACAACTACAGTTTTACAGGCACAAAGCACAATTCTGACCTGTTTCAGAACAAAAACAATGTGCACTGGTCGACTTTTCCTTTGTTCAGAATGTAATTACTGAGTTAACTGCATCCTCTGTGGTTTAAGTTGTAATATAAAACAAGGTTTACTTGTTTGAGAAGAGGAAATTAGAGAAAATTGAGCTATAGCTGCTTCACAAGATTAAACATTTAACTGCTGTTCAAACTAAACCCTGAATATACTGTGTATCAACACATTGAGTAGAGGTTCTAGCATTATATCTGGACTAAAACAATTTGTATCCTGTTGTGACTAATGGGCCGTGTGGTCCCAAGTTAGATTTTTTTTTTTTAATTCTTGCCACAGGTAGTTAGAGTGCAACAGTTTCAGAGACATTTCTTAACAAAGTTTTTTTCTTTCAGTGGTGGGTGTGCTTTGTCAAGAAGCAGTTCATGAACAAAAGTCTGTCAGCTCCTGGACAGTGAGCAACTCAGGACCCTCAGTTTCTGTTGTACACCTGCAACATGGATGGATTTTCTTGGGGGTGGGTTGGGTTGGGTGGGGTGGGGTGGGGTGGATCTGCTTTTGTGTTGCTAAAAAAATGATTTTATACTCTTTGAGTTCAAAGATATGTCTTTATGTGTCTGGATGTTGATCAAATTGAGCTGGTGCTTAATTCAATAAAGCAATCATGGAGATTGGGAAGAAAGATGGGACTGTGTTTTGTTCTTGCACTTTAAACTTACAAACACATACTGATATCTTTAACTGTAGCTCTGAGAGAAGTTGTTTTTCAGTGAGATACTCATACATCAACTTAAGAATGAAGACCGAGTTGTAGATTAGAGAGGTACAAACATTTTACCAGATCAGCCAACAATTTCCACATTGAGCTTTATTACTTGTTTCACAATCTAACATTCACTGACCTCAAAAGTGGGTACAACTGTATACCCACTACTCAAATGATGTCCTTACTCAGCATAAAAAATGTTATCACTACTGTTCAACCCTGATGAGCCACTTGATTAGGAGATCACTTTATGGGTGGTATTTGAAGTGCTACTCTCAGCGCTACCTCTCCCATAGGAAAGATGGATGCTTTTCCTCTGAACATGTGCAATGACTAGGACAAGTAGTTTATATTTACATAGGTAAAAATGTAGCATGTTCATTACAAAAAATATTTATTGGTGTGTTCTCTTTGGTTTGCTGACAATAGTTTTTTTTCTGCCTCCAACACAAGCCTTCAGATGCAGTCCTTTTTGAAAACAGGTTTCCTTCCTCGGCAGTCAAAGTTAAGGCAGCGCTGGATGATAAGTTTCCCCCTCAGGGAAAGAAGAAACACTTTCTCTGCAGAACTCCTAGAAAAGTGCAGGAAAGGAAAGCCAGTGTCTGTATCTCCATCTCTTTAATGACACTCCAAAACTGCATAATCGATTATTAAACAATAGACTGGATGGCTCAGTGTGGCAGGTTGAATAAAAAGAAAAGCCTCCAAAACAGACGATATGCATCTTAAAATAGTCTCAGTCTAAATAAATAGGTACATATAAAGTAAACTAAGTTTGGAAATGGTGCGTTTATCAGAAGGGATATTTCTTCCCAGAAAGTATGCACATAACAGAGAGCCTGTATACTGCATCTTCCTGTGAGTGAAATACTGATGCTTGAAAGGGAAGACTTGTTCATCTGAGGATGAAAAATTGAAAAGTAAAATGGGAAGTTTTGGCAGCATGGCCGCCACTACCATTCAACAATATCCATAAATAACAACTCTCAAAATCCAAGACAAAAATTAGTAGAGAAATATATGACTGCTCAAAAAAGCACAGCTGATGGTACTAAAGAATTCATGGGTTTATAAATGTCTTTTTCTTCTTTGTGTAACCAGTTATCAAATCCCCTGCGCAGTTCCAACCTAAAACAAAAACGTACATCTCAGGTTAGTTCTCAATAAATTGAATTTATGTAAAACTACAGCAGGATTACTTATATGGTTTTACAAGGAAAGACCTAATGACCTAAATGAGCAGCAATGAACAGTAACTTCTCAGATTTCAATCATTTCAAGTCCAAACTACACCATGATGAATCCTGACAGGTGGTTGTACTTACGGTGTTGATGACTGGAGTGAGGCTTTAGTCAAAAGCCATCTCTTGACTCCTCCGCACACATCGGGCCACCTTTTTCTTAAAAACTCCTGTAGGATCTTCCCTCCACTCTTTCTGCAGGGTATGGCAGATACAAAAACTCATATCAACAACTATGTTAATGCAACCCTTCCACTTGTGCTTTATTTCTTTCTATTTCTTGGCCACACATTTTGCACAAAAAATTCTAAGCACTGCTGATTGATTGATTGATTGATATTTACTTCGCTTCAAACAGAGTTTGAACTATCACCTTTTTCTGTCTCCAGGCAGCACCTCTGAATAAAGAGATAAGCCATTTTAACCCAACCAAAGCTCTGCTTGGCCTTGACAGGCAGTGATTTGCCCTTGCAGGGACCCACGTCACTCAGCCCACTTGTTTGGATTTCCATTAAAAGACCTAGACTAAACAGAGTGGTGCCTTCTAACAGTAATTTGATGTTTTTTTTTTCACCTGTAGATCACTAATTTGCATCCCTCTTCATATGTATATATAGATTAGAAGAAATGTTTCCCATTGTTCCCTGTGGCTCTACAGTTTAACTCCGTTTAATAAAGACACTAAACAAGACTCAGGCTGGAATTAAGACTGGTGCACATGTATCACTGGAAAGAGAGTCTGCAAACTAACCACAACTTGAGTAGGCACTTACAGCTGCATCCACATTGGCAGGAGAGTCTCCATTGGGGTCTGCCAACATGGATATAACACTGATCATTATGGTCTCCACTGTATGGATCGGCAGCCAGCGCTCCTCAGGCTTTTCATAGCCATACTTGTCCTCGCCAGGTTCGTGCAGGATAGAGATGCAAACATCGCCATTTTTTGCCACTAGGAGAAAACAAGTTTACACAAAGATTTCTAACAAGTTCCCACTTCAGCACAAGATCAAATATTGTGCTACAGCTTCACATTTATTACGAAATGGGAAAGGTCAAACCTGGTACACCATATGGTGCAGCCAGCTGAGAGATTCTCAAAATCTTGTCAAGGAAGTTATCTCATGTAACTAAGTGCACACTAATGTACTTTTCTTTTATTAAAATGCCCTATTTCTGATTGAATTAAAAAATAAATGATTAGGTATTTTAAGATACCGAACAGAACCTGATTTATAAATTTGAAAATAATGTAAACTTCTTTTGCAATGGAAAATCAATTTTGAAGTGATTGTTACAGCCATTTTCAACTCTTTGAAAATATGTGCATAAATATGTCCATTTTCTTTTTTAATGATTCCAGAAAATATTTATTTAGTTCTACTTTGGTTGACACAGATTAATTAGTGATACCTGGGAAATTTGTTCTCACCGTTTGGATGCCAGATTTCTGTGACGAACTTCATCTTGGGAGGCCTCAAAGGATAGTCACGGGGAAAGGTTAAGGTGGCTTTGAAGAAACCTCCTTCACTGCAAATGAGAAAGAGGCTAGTGTTAGCTTGTACACTCAGGAGCTGGGCGAATATACAACTCACATATCATCACAAGTTACTGTATATTATTTGATGCATAATTTCACTCACAATAACGTGTCTTGAGGTCCGATGACGACCACCTCCCACTGATAGATGTCATCATCATCTACAAGACCCGCAGAAAAGCCTTCCACTGGGTTCTTGTTGAGCTCTTAAATTTAGGATACAATTAGTCAGATGTAGGCTAACTCTTACAATTATTAAATGTCATATCGTCATGGGATATAAATCCTTCAAAACTACTCGGACGCTGGAAGCAAACTATTGACAAGACAAGTAATGGTGGTGTCTGGTACACCGAGGAAAAACAAGCACATCCACAGTAAAAAGCTACCTTCAGTAGTTATTGAGCAATAGCAGCTATGCTTACAGTGACATCTCGGCTAACAGCTGTCTGGCACGCTATCTATACACGTGCCTTTCAACTTTGTTGTCACTGTTATCTGTACGTAAAAAAACGCAGGTTAACCAATAACAACAACAGGCAAAAGAACCGCAGATGTTACTTTCGCATACATAACAAAATACTATATGATATACAACAGTTTAAGCTATAAGTTTAGGACCATCAGTTAGCTTGCTAACTTACCTGCTAGTTGTTTACGCAGTAACAACGAAGACTGTTCCGTCATTTTAGAGGTATATCTTTTCAACTTTGATTTTTGTATTAACTAATGCTAACTAACTGTCAACACGGTTAAATTAAGCATCAGGCAAAGATGGTAAAGCGCACAGTCCACGTTTTCTCTGTCTCTGTCTGGTAATGCCAATAACATGAGTCAAAAGAAAGAAGACTGAAGTCAGAGGAAACGACACCGCTTATTTTAGCCCTCAGTATAACCTTTCAGGCACACATTGCTTCAAGACTGTAGTGTCCACAATAAGGGCCGCCAATCAAATAAAACTTGAGGGCATTATAAGGGCCATATCTGAGATATAGCGCTGCTAATCCCAGCCAAAGAGATTTAATCTGTTGTTTACACAGCCAAGGAAGTGGTTCCTGTAAGGCTAAATCCAGGGCGCTGTAGTTTAATAAAATATAAAAAAAACTAACTTTTCTTGTTCGTGTGTCTTTGCAGCAGTCTATACCCTCATTGGTACATTACTGCCTCAAGCTGTTTGTAATGGATACTACACATTTCCTCTTTACACTTTAGGTCTCCCTTCCAGAGCGTAAGAATCCAGTCTTTTATTGTTGTAGACAACACAACATGTATAACCAAAAGTATGCGGACATGGAAAATAAAGACATGGTTTTCCCAATTAAACCTACCATTGAAGGAAATAAATGGCATATGACATCCTCTGTATTTTTTCTGGTGACTGTATTTTACAGGCTGATTTTGGTTGTAGGCTCAGTATATATTTAAAGTTGACTACTGTAAGGTCACTTAGAAATGCAATAAAATTCACTTTTACATAGTGTTTAGATCACCATGTAGGAAAATTGAATTCACAGTAAAGCAAATAAATCAAATCCAATCAAAATCCAAATATTCTTATAGTGCGGCCTGCACAGAGCTCTCAACGCAGCGCCATCCTTTAGAATGAATAAACGCAGATTACATCCCAGGCCATATGATCCAACAACAGTGCTTAACTTCACTAATGCTCCTGTGGCTGCATGGGAACAAATCCCTGCAGCTAGGCTCCAAATCTTGTGGAAAGAAATTCCCTAAAGAATGGAGGCTGTTATAACAGCATATTAATGCCCAGGGCTGCACTGGTAATCTGGCATACCAGGCATTTTCCCGGTGGGCTGATGCACCTTGAGGCCACTAAAATCAAATTTATTAAAAAAATATTACCCATGACCAGACCACAAAGCCCAATGGTTCATTTTCTATAATGACACAGGGCTGGCCTAATCATATCTCTTACTAGGCTGACCCATCCCTCCCACCCTGTCCTCCCCATTTCTGGTGTCAGATGCTGTGGTTCAGAACCAAAAATCTCTGGATAGTGGAATGATAAGAGTATGATAATGAAAAAAGTAAATCTTAAGAATTTTAAAAAACAGTAAAAGTCTATTCATTCAGTCAGTCTGATCATGCATTAAAGCCCTTTAAAATACAGTTTATGATACATTTGTGTGCCAACGATTCGTAGGTGAAAAGTGCTAAAAACTGCAGTTCTTCGAATGGCATCTTGAGGCTGGCTCCAATCCACTCAATCCCCATAGACTCCCATGTTAAAATCCCAAACTTTACAGCAGACATAAACATGCTAACAGCCAGTTACAAAAAACTGTCTTAGTCTCTATAGCTAAAACTGTATAGGGGGGTGAATTTTTATCTTACTCAACCGTTTGAATTGTATTAAGGCTTAAAGTTATGCACAGTTGACGGTGGGTATGAACCGAAGTCTCTGCTCCATGCACGCCCCCACCTCTTTGCCCATTTTTCAATTAGCGGGGAGCTAGACGGAGTCACAAAATGTCACAACAAAATGGCAACAGTAGAGCAGCCCACTCTGAGCTTCAAAACTGGTCTTCAGAAACTTATGGGTGACATCACAGAAACTACATCCATCTTTATTTACAGTCTAATACAGTCCAGCCCTATCAATGCCCATAGTTTTGGAATAAGATGTTCAGCAATCACAGTAATGGATGTAATGTTCAGTTGTTCACATATTTTGGTCATATAAAAAATGATGGTCTCTGTTCTCTTCAAACCTAACCTATATTTTAAGCATGAATAATCATCTTCGCAATTACCGTCATTTATACCTTTCAATCTCAGCTAAACTCCATGTTGCCTTTAAAACATTACCCCAGTCTTTTTTGTCTTCATCACCTTATCACTTACCAACAAAATGTCCCCTGCTGAAAAAATGGCATTTGCTATACTCTCCATCTCCAACTTCCCCTGCCACCTCCTTGTTGCTTTTCCCCATACACCACTCCACTCTACACCATCATTTCAAATCCACCTCATCTCACTTTGCTTGTTTACCTGCTACATCAGCAGTCTCATACCTTTATGCCTATTTATGCCTGAATCTCTTAAAATACCAAAGCACTCACTATTGCTACTCAATACAGTCCCACTAAAAGCTCTAAAACGATGTCAGGTTTGACCAAAGATCATCCCCCTGGTAGTGTTGTCAGTGCATCGGCTGCAAAAAATACCCATGCTGTGGTGTTACTTGTCTTATTCTGGCAGCAGCCTTTCCTTGAAAAAGAATCATATCTACTAGAAATCCATTTCTAAAAATCTGCAGGTGAAATATACTCATTTTTCCTGTAGCCCTCACATAACCTCATCACTGGCTTTCCATAATCCTCCATCCTCATCCAATCCAGTACTGATAGCTCTAGTTCAGGCTTTGGTTACAGCCGCATTGTAATTCAGGGCAAGCAACTTGTGTGACCTTTCTCCATCTCACTCAACCCTAGCTGTTCCACTTCCTCACTCGCTGTGCTCACAAAACTGCCTTTTCTGTTTACGGTCTGTTTTTCTATGGGAGCATAAGGCTGATGTTGTGCTTCTTGATGCAGTACAGAATTCACATATTAGAGTTTGATACACTCTGTTTTCTTTTGGCTTTTACTGTTGCCCACGGGTTTTAACACATACTGGTGAAGTACATAAAACCACATATGGCCACTCTGAACCTTGCTTGCCCAGCTTGTAAACATTTATTATCCTATGATCTTAAAAATTTCAGCCAGTATGAATGGTATGTGATGTCTTTTCATGGCTTTAAAATTGAAAAACTGTATGTTTCTCCTTGACATTTCACACTACATCACCTAGTCTCTTAACAATCCCGTTGCTAAGGTCATTCATTACTTAAATGACTTTCCCTATGCTTTGTATTGACTTAAGAGTTTGCCTGATTCATTGTGCTTTGGGTTCCTTTAAAAATATTTTATATATTTACAGTATATAAGTAATAGTGTCCCTATCTTCTGACACTTGTATTCTAATACCCTTCTTTGACCAACCATGCATGCACCGCTGATTTTCACAGTCTAATTTAGCAGATTTAATTACAGTTAAAGTTACAGTCATAATTATTTATTCTACTGGATATTTTCTCAGTGCTCAGGAATAAACCTTTCCCCATCTGCATTAATACAACTTTCATTCTTTCATAATGTAGTGCAGCCATAGGCGTAGAATATAAGACGATGCAGGGAATATGTCCCCCTCAATATTTTGAACACGTGCATTGTCCCACCCACAATAAAAAAAACACTATAACATTACTCATAGACGCAACACTGCCTCCAACAGGGGCAGGTCTATTTTCTTCAGCAGTGGGTCTTTTTTTACTCCCAAAATATGAATATGAATTATGAGTTCATACAACCACTGAATCTTTTGAGGCAAATGTAATTATCCCCACCACACACACACAAACAAACACACACACACACACACACACACACACACACACACACACACACACACACAGTGTTGGGATCTCAGTCAGCGGCAGCACAGCATCTCCTCCTCTCCTCTGGCACCGTGCACATGCAGGCAGGTTGATAACCATGGAGGAGCCAGAAGGGAAAAGTCTAATCTTAAGGTAATGCTGCCTGCCCATAAAGGCTCGCTAGCTAGCTAAGATAGCAGCTGAGAAGCTAATCCAGCATTAACTGCGCAACAGCTGTCCAAAGAAAGTCAAAAGAACGGCAGAATGTGATTTGTTGACAGTGAGGGACATTTGAATTCAAGAGCCTTACTGCATTATATTTCATTATAAATTGAACTGTCACCTGGTGCCTGAATTTTGTGTTTTCATTCTCATAAATAAAGACATTTCCACCATAAAGTGATGCAGGAAAGGCACAAATTGGTGCATAAAAATTCACCAGAATACAGGTAATGAAGTGTTTGATACTCAGAGTTTCCAGGGGGAGGGTCCCCAGAACCCACACTTAGTGTGTGTGTCCCAAGTTTTCAAACAAAACCTACGCCCATGGGTGCAACAAACTAAAATACCAGTTTATTCTATAAAAAAAAAAAAATCAACAAATTGTTTAATTTCCTGCCTGTTACTGGCACAAAATACAACATAGGCACATTAAATATTGTTTTGAACTCATTTGCATCCTAGCTGACATCCTCACTCATGTCTGTGGATCTCCCCTCACAAACCCCCACTGCATTTCACTCATATAACCAGGAACTTCTCCGCTGCTTCAACCAGCACTCCAGTCACCTCAGATCTTTTACCGACTTGTTTGACTTTTTCCCACAAGCACCCATCATAAATGCAGAGAAAATGAGTGTTTTAATCAAATATAAATCAGAAGGAGTGTCTACCTTGGTTGGTCTTGGGGGTGGTAGCACACACACAGATCCTGCTGTCACCCTCACTTTTTTTTTCTTCAGATAAGCTCTTTGCATATGCTCCTTCACACATCATCTTGCATTTGTGCAGACTACAGGAACATTGCCACAAGGGTAGGTGTGTAGATTCTTCTGTCTGTTGTTAACTGTAACATCCATGCATGTGTATGTTAATGGAGGAGAGCTCCCTCAAAAAGCAGAAGCATTTCCCCCAGCTGTGAAACCATTTGCTATAAATATTCAATTCCTTGATGAAAGTGTCTCTGACTGAAACTGACATTTGTTGGTATGTTTTGTACGCGTGTTGTGGTTGTAGACTGCTACACAGATGCTGTCTTGTCTCATTGTAAACTCTCTGATAGCTTAAGGAAAATCCAGTGTCAATATGATAAAAGATAAAAGACCCTTTTTTTTTGCCTTTAATGCTGCCTGGTATGTAGCTGTCAACCAGCCTTTCATTTAAGAATGGTACAGCACTTTCTTGGTTTTGGCCTGTTGCTGGCTTTCACCATGTATTTGCCTCAATGTGTAACATGTAA